TGTATATACAGGGTGAGTCTTAAATTAATACAAACAAAAATTAACAGAGTTATTTTACTTTGAGAATTAAAAAAAATATATATTTTTCGTTTAAATTTTCAGAATCACTGGTTTTTTTTATTTCTTGTAAATTTAACCTACTACTTGTGTTGCCATTTTATTGAGAAATTATGTTTACTTACTTAAAAATTAAAAAAATTCCCAAACATTTTTCAAAAAATCTCAAATTTTTATTTTTTTTCGCGAAAAAAACCTCATTAGGCGTGTTTCTACCTTAGGTTTCTACTACCTCTAAAATATTTGCACTTATTTGAGATTCACCCGGTATAATAGTCTTATTACAGTTAAGGGTTGAAATTCTTGTTGTTACAATAGTAAAATAAAATACTAATTTACCACAATATACTAAAATTGAGGTAAATTAGTATTTTATTTTGCTATATAGGATGTGCCATCTCGTGGGGAGATTCCTCTCGTAAAAATAGGATTTATTTTTCATATCAACATGGGTCCGATTCTGCTTTGTTTCATAGCTACAGAAGGTTAAAGTTTTTTTTTATTTATTATAAGTTTCTTACAAGTGCTTTTAGCCGATTTGAATTTAAATGAAATTTGAAGGATTAAAGTTACTATGAGTGCTACATATTTTAATGCTAGAAAAGTGTCGATATAAGCATATGGGTAATCATCGGAATATGTTTCTAAAAAAACATGCGTGCCACTAAGTCCTCTTATTACCAAAAGTGTCTAGGCCATTTAACGTTGATTAGAAGTCGTATGTTGATATTTTGTCCATTTCGATCTCCTTGATGAGATAAATCCAATTTTCTTACATAATCATAAATAATAAAATTAATAAATTATTTATTAATGTGTTATAAGTGATAGTGTAATTTACTTCTAAATTTTATTAAAGTTTATAACACCGATGTGTACAGTGCTACCTACAGCAAATTTACTCAAAAAATGATGGTATTTAAGATAATTACAAAAGGCCTATGGTAAGGCCTTTAAAGTTTTAACATCCTGTAACTTTAAAACTATTCATTTCCGCTCCCATGTCTATAGAAACATTTTTTATATTTTTTGATGAGGAATAAATGAGTACTTGTTTAGCATTTTGGCAAAATAATGACATTAAATTTTTTAAAGGTTGCTATTAGAATCGGATTAAGGCAAATTAATTCAATTGCGTTTAACTCATCAAGGAGACCGATATCGAAAAATATCAAGAGATTTTTAATCATTTTTTTAATCAGCATTTAACGGTCTACACAATTTTGCCAGCAAAAGAAAAAAGTCAGTGGCGCACATATTTTTTTTAGAAAAATATCCCAGTGATAACCCATATGCACGTCACTGGTGAATATGTCGACACTTTTTTAGCATTAAAATATGTCGCACTCATAGTAACTTTTACCCTCAAAATTTCATTCGAATCGCTAAAAGCACTTGGAAGAAAATTGTAATAAATCGAAAAAAGATGAAGACCTTAACCCCCTGTAGCTATATGAAACAAAGCAGAATCGGATCTATGTTAACATGAAAAATAAATTTTATTTTTACAATAGGAATGTCCCCACAAGAGATGGCACATGTTTTTTGAAACGCCCTGTATAATAGTCGTTGAATAATATATCCATCTATAGGCGGGTTCTCGCAAAGATTCTCTGTACAACACTCCATTTACCCATTTCTGCGTAATATCCACACTTGTGTCTAGCCCCAGCAGGCAACTATTAAGCCCGACCAATCACGTTAGAGTTTTTGACAAAAAACAATGAATTAACCCACTCCAAATAACCACGCTAACCAACCTAATTGTTCAAGCTTAATAGTTGCCTGCTGGGGCTAGACACTGCTATATCCACTGCCTGACCCACCGTCTATAACATTTTCGTAGTTTGTGTTACATCATAATATTTCATAACTTATTTGCTATATGTTGAAATTTTATGTTTACGAGATCAACGAAAAAAAAAGTCAAGAACAATTGTGAACAATGATGCTTTAAGTGGCCTTAAAAGGTAGTTTAGTACATCATAGTGAATTTCTAGAAGTTAGTTTGTTGTGTCCCTCTTAATGATATTTATTTTTTTAATAATAAAATAACAAAACGGATGTTCTTTGGTAAGCATATTACTTGAGAAAGGCTGGAAAGGTTCATCAATTATTTTTTTAAAAATGTGAGATTTTCAAGAAAAGTAGAAAGGCAGCTGTTCTCCATGGTCTGTCATTCCTCTCGATACTCTTCTTCTTCGAGTGGCATATTTGATAGTAATTTTATTTGGTCGATGTAGCCATTTGGGGAATGACCCGCTCCTCTCTATTCCACGTCTCTCTCTCCCTGGTTAAGCATCAACTTTTCCTGGATGAGTAATTTTCCAACATCATGTTTAATAATATGACTGAAAAGTTTAAAAGTCTGCCTGTGAACTTCTGCAAGTTCTGCGTTTGTTTACCTAGTTCCTCAATTCCCTGAGAATAGTTGTTTGTCTTGGAGTCATGAGATCCTCATCATTTTGCGTTAACAGACCATTCAAATGGTTCACGATTCAGATCCGTAGGTAGCGATTGGGAAAATCAGGAGATTGGACTAGTATTTTTTTTGTTTTTTTTTCTAGTGTGTCGATCTTTCCAAATATTTGTTAGGCTTAGTACCATCTTTGTCACATACATATTAGAATATACCGTTAGTACCGAATTTACACAATCTTAGCCATGCCGATTCTTCCCTCCATCACAGCCTCCACCTCACTTTGTTGAAGACACCTAGATCTAGATCGAATATAGGTATCTGTCTCTTTTTCTCTTTCCTCTTTGTTTGTTGACACATATAAATATTTACACACACATTTGATAAACTACCATTATGTAGGTTTTGGTACGGTTTAGATTTAGTCTAGTTTCCATGTTGTATTTATGCTTTGGACTTGCTCTGTAATATCTTCTTCTGATATTCTCTAAATTAATTGAGGCAACTTTCGAAATTGACAATAATTAGGATTAATAACGTTCGAAACCTTTTCTGACAAATATAATTTATTAAATGTTTTTACCAGTATAATTATTCATTTTAAACGCTACATATATTATTAATATCATTTCTTCGCCACACCGATATTCTGGATTTACTTAGACAATAAAATAAATTTCAATATATTTGTAGTTTATTCACATCGTTTTGATTTGGCCCAGGAATTTAAATACTCTCTGTTAAATTGAATAAGAACCAATTCGTAAGTTACTATAGCACTGGCAATCTAAAAATAATACACCGATAATGTAATTTAAAATTTAAAAGAACGATCACAGAACATTTAGATATATTTACATTTTCTTAATCATATTTTTTTTCCTGCTAAGCATTTTAAAACATTCTGCAAACATTTATATCTACATACCTCTAAAATAACATGACGTTTAATATTAAAAAAGTTCTTTCCATTCATAGATACTTCGAAATTTAAAATTTGTTCAATTAATCTTTGAATCTGAAAAAGTACATATTTAATGTGTGCCAAAAAGTTTGCAACCAAAAATGAAAAAATAATATTAGTCAAGTTTATGCGGAATCTATGTAAGAGTCTCGACACATTCCTGATATAAAAAAAATACTTTGACAATGTAGTGCGATAACTGTGTCGTAGCGCCCAGTTAAATAAGTGCTCTTTTTATACAAGGTGTTCCAGAAATAAGTGCAAGTATTTTAAGGGATGGTAGATCTCGATAAAAGAAACATATTTTATCTTTATCGTTTTTCAAATAAGTCCAAGATGACGTAGTTATTTTCCTTTGAAAATTTCCTGTATATGGCGGCGACACATACTGAAATCCGCCATTCCCCGAAAGGCCTAGTCGTTTTACGTATTGCCGACAAACAACGTAACTTTTTAATTGGTACCCACGGTTCAAACAATAGCAGAAACAACTTGATACGGATCCCGCAATATGCGCGGGCATCTGTAGCTCCTATAATAATAACTTAGGAATTTTGTATAAGAGCAAACCTAAAATATGTATTTCAGGAAAATATATTTTTTCTTCTACAGGATAGCTAAAAAAAGTGTGGGTAGCTCTGAATGATTTCTTTAAAGGGAATATCCTCTATATTATTGTATTTTTGGCTTCCTTTATGATCACTTTAAATAATTCTAAGATATTATTAAATATGTTTTGATAGTTTCAGAAATATTATTAAATTAATAAAAACAAAAATATTTTGTTCAGCCTTTTTTGTTAGAAAATTATTAAAAATATAAGAAATGTTCTCTAATCAAAACAATACTATCTATTTACCGTTGTTGGTCTGTACTCATTTCGCTATAAATATCGTAACTCGAGAGGTTGTCCAAAAATTCTATGCCAGACTTTCTAAAATATAAAATAATATTTCTCCTTTTTTTAATGAAACACCCTGTATATTACTCCTTTGTTAGATGGAGAATTAAAAATTAACATTTTTTATGATATTGATGAATTAATTTCGCATAAGCTTTTCCATAATGAGTGGTTGAATTGTTGAATATTGTTAGAGATTAAAGTCTGTCCAACAAGCAAAAGAATATTTCGACAGACGACATCCAAGAAATTATAGAAAATACAATTTATCTGCGAACTAAAATGACTGACAACTATCACTGGTCACTGTCATGTATCCTCTAGTTGGACAAACTTTAAGTAATTCATAATGATATAATAATACGATAAGTAGATTTTATGAATATATCGTCGCCTTCCACAGAAACTGTCGTATCTGACATTTTGGAAATTTTACAGTAGAGCGAAAAAAACGTGTCATCTAACAATCCCTACAGTGTCGTAACTGTAACGGGAAAGGCTCCTATATTGTAGGTACAAGGTAAATGGTATATCTAACAAAAATTAATCTTTAGATCACACTAAAAGGCGTTTTTTTTTCGCTCTACTGCAAAATTTTCAAAATGTCAGTTACGATGCTTTGTGTGGAAGGCAACGATATAAACCCTCTAGTCAGTTACCTCCTTATTGTAAACTTTAGGAGATACCGAATTCAAAATATTCAAAGGCCTTCTGCTTTCTTCATATACTGTTGCTCCGCAAATGACGACCATAGCTGTTCTCGATATTAAAAAGACCAAAGAAAAGTAGAAGTAAATTGCTTCTACGTAATTTTGTCTAGGTTTTAAACTGTTGTAGACTTGTGTTAAAATTGTAAATATGTTTGGTAGAAAGGAAACTAAGATTACGTTTGATATCGTAGCATTTACGCTGTGGCAAAGATTGCTTAATCGTGTATAATCTTCTCGCAGTTGGTGCCAAGCTTCTATATCAGCAATCTGAAGCAAACAATTCATGATAATAATTATATGTTATGAAAACCTAGGACGCTACAATACATATAAACCTATCTCGACTATTAAGAAAGAGAATTATTATACCAAACGATCGAAAAAAAACGGCATCAGCGATGGCTATGAAATGAAGATCGCTGTCATTTTATATGGAAAATTATATGGGGAATGTCATCGATCCTCATTGCCAAGCCAAAGGGACACCGTTTTTTTTTCGATCATACGGTATATGTTATTTATATTTTTACTTAATTATTTTTTACTGATTATTAACACTTTTACATATTATTAAGACATATTATTTTGAGAGTTATATAGTAGCTATAATTGCAATAACGGCGTATGCAATTTAAATAAAAATTGTTTTCTTATATTAGACTTCCAACCATTGTCTAGTATTCTATAAATATATGATAGAGATTATCGTTATCGTTCTTTATAAGTAAATATGCATATTTTAATGACTCCAGAATTTTTGTACCAGAAAAATTAACATTTCAACAAAAAAAATGCTTAATTTTTTTAATCTTGAACAATGTACTGACTTAAACTTCCGGTGCTTCTTATTCAAAAGTTAAATGTATAATTAAAATTATTGAAATAAAAACATACTTTTTACCTGGATTTTTTCAAATTAATTTTTCTTCCAAATCATAAAACTTAAAAAATCTGTATTTTTACATGATTATAATATTAAATACCTAATATAATAATTAAATAAAATATTTCATACCAATACATGTTAATTAATCGTGTTTAAACTATTTAAAGAAATAATTTTTAATATTATGTCCCTCTCATTGAAGAACAGGTCCATATGAATCAAAAAATAAAAATATCTTACCTCTTTTTTCGAAGTTTTCTTTATATTTGTAGTAACCTGCTTCATGCGGCTTGCTAAGGACAGACTTATAATCATTACAAAAAGATCTATGTAAGTAAAAGCAAAGTGGATTTGAAAAAGCCAATACTAAAAAATTATATTTCGGCAATTACAATTTAATAATATTTTAAGAATTTTACCTTACTTGAAAAACTAAACTTGTTGGTATACTATATGGAATATATTTAAAAACGTGCGATAATGTAAGATTACTGAAAAAGAACTTTATAGCTTTTTCTTGATCTTCCTGACATTCAGCTACTCTGTAAATTCGACTGGCTTGATGTAAAAAATATTCCACTATAAAACAAAATAATTGTATGTGTCATGTTACTGGCATAGTATAAATTTAAGGCATTCTGTATAAAAACTAGGTACTCTATAAAACGCCTAACGATTTCAGGCAATGTATGACATTTAAATGTTTTTATATGTAGAATGAGTGGGAGGGGGATTAATCACCGCGACCAATCTAGCAGATCATTTTATCACCCATTCTTGAGTTATAACTCATCACATGAGGATTTTCCTGTTGTAGGGGGGACAGTTGGGTAGAGTTGACATCTACATCCTACGAGGGTGTACACCCTTCCACGGTTGGGGTTTGGCCCTCCGTGCCCTTTACAGTCGAGGAGCATGTCTCCGGTTGAGGTACCTGTGACGTGGAGGCTGAAGGATCTGTCTCCATCTTCTCCACCTCTTTAACTTGGTCTCTCCTTAGACCTCATACCGGTATTGTCCCGAATCTATAGCAGAGGATATATCTCTCTTTCTTTATTGCCTCCTTGGATTTGAGGTCTATTTCTGAGGACTTGACCATGGATGTCCTTACATTGGAGTTCTGGCAAAGCTGGTGATACGTCCCTGCTTGCCTCCCGGTGTTGGACGGCTTTCTATCCTGGCTTTTTCTCTTCTAGCAGAGGTAAGAGTACCCTCTCGCTCTTCCATTGCCCTTTGGTGGAGATGCGCCAGGTTGTTTCTTGGTTCCTTTAATCTCCCCTTTTTCGAGGAGTCTTTTCGCTTTTGCTTTCTCTGGAGCAAAAATCCTTCGTAGAGCAGTCGGTGGTATATCCGTACTCCCTGAGGTGGGTTAGACGTCACACTTTTTACTCGTGATACATGACCAGATACCGCGATACAGACATTAGAGGATGCCTGGAATGACAGACAGGGTAGTCCCATCCGGCATCGTTATACGTCTTGGTGTAATTACCTGGCCACGACATTACAGCCAGGGACAAGACAGTTAGTTGGTCCTTAGACCCAGCGAAAGTGTCAGAGGGGAATCCCCCTAGCATCTGACTAGGCGCTGTAAGTCGCACAAGTAGTTTTTAAAACCTATTGAAACTGGTTTCTCTATTTATTGAAGTGAAACTTCTTTACGCGCGATGAGAGTAAAAATTGAAGGCCGTGACATACAAGACACAACTGGGGCTCTATGTGAACTAGGGGGCTAAAACTCGGAATGTAGATGAGGAATAGAAGGTAATAATAATTTTGAAGTTTTAAAAGCAATCAAATGAACTGTCACATTTAAACGATATGAAGCAAATTTGAGATAATTAAGCTGGATACCTAGCAATTTCCAGATTTTTTTTAGAATAATGGATTTTCTTCATTTTTTCAATAGAACACCCTGTATATTATTTTGTTGTTAGGTGAAGAATTAAAAAATGAACATTTGTTGCATTTAAAGTATTTCTAAATTTTTAACGGGTTTGCAGATATTCGTAAAATATTATATTACATATAGGTTTTTCAACAGTAATTTTTTAAAAAAGCCACCTGATGATTTTTGAAAGCGGAAATTAATTCTTCACCTCTTCAATTTCATTTTCATGGTTTTCAATTTGAACATATTTAAATAAGTTGGCAGTATTTTCTGTGTCTTTTTAGGCCCTACCAAAATTGATTGGTCTAAATCTTGTTGGCAGTTTGCAGATTTTGATGGGTTTAAAAGACTAGTAATACTCTGAATACGAAAAGCCAAATGGAATGACTTGGCTAATGGATTTAAATTCCATCCATCTCGTTCACGTAAAATCGAAAATAAGTTTTCAATAAAATCTTGATTTAGTCTCTTAGTTAAAATGAATTTACTACCATCTATTTTTTCATCTTCAAACAGGCCAAAGATACAATTTATTGTTTGGATAATACCTTGACAACAATAAGGCGGGACTGATTTTGCCAAACTTTCAAAATTGTTTATATCTGTTCTTTTACTCTTACGTGCTTTACAAAGCTTGAAGAGACCATTACGCTGTACTTTCGGGTCTCTCTCAGAGGTCGGGTAAAGCGGGTGTGTGGCCGAAAGAAATAGATATAATATTTCAGAAATCTGCTCAAGCTTAGCCCGATCCTGTCGTGTGAAGCCTCATCCAAAATTCCAAACACACGTGCTTTGATTAAGGCTTGATTAAGGTTTGCAGAGCTTCAGCTTTTGCCATAAAATAGCGAGTAATTGGTTACAAAACCATATAAATTATATATCACTGTAATCACAAAATTTTAATCTATTTCCGTATTGTAACGGAAGTTTAAATTATGTCTTTATTTTCGAGAAAATTTAGTCCAAACATAAGGAATATTGTGTTGATGTTTGACCTTCAAAATCTTAAAAATAAAGAAGTTATCTAAAAATGTGCTACAATACGGATATAGTATAATCCTTTATCTCTAATTTCCTTCTTCATTTGTGTAAAAATACCTAGCTAGTTTTGCATAAAACGTTAAATGCCGAATGCTTATTTTGCTATTTTTTCGACTAGTGAAATGGACTCTTAAATTACTATATACATGTATGCTTTTCTTTAAAATTTCAGTAACTTTGGTATGTTTATCGTTAAGTGCACAGCCAAACGGATTTTTGTCGTAACACCACTCACTATTCAGAGCATCAAATAAGTCATTCATAAATAAAATAAATTCGGCAGTGTCAGTTCCTTCTTTCTTGTCGATTTGTTTATTTTGCACACAAGTGCTAATTGCAACCGCCACGCTTCTCGAAAATATTTGAAGAGCTAATTTGCAGGATATGTTTTCAAAATTATTCGGATTTAAGTGTTTATCAGAAATCTTTGAAAGGGCTCTTGCAGTTGATGATTTATCAATTTGATATGTTTTCCTAATAATATCAAAAGTTTTGTCTAACATTTTAAATATCCCGATTAAAAGATTATTTCGCACACTTTTAAATGGGTGAGGATTTTTTACTATTTATATAAAAAACTGGGTTATTTTTGGTAGTTCGTAAAAGATTAAGTGCCTCCCTATTATTAATTGCTTCCCTGATCACAAATGGATAAATCCTAAACCCATAATACTTTTCAAGTTGTGCTTAATTAAATCTGCTCTAAATTTCTCTTCTTAATCTAAATTTCTCTTCTTTAACACTTTCCCCATCTTTTCTTTTTCGTGCACTACGAAACCCCATTATCAATGAATCAAAGGAAAAAACGTCCGATTTAAATAAAATTTTGTATGTCGATAGATTGGGTTAAGGCCACTTGATCGTGTACGACGATCTGATCGCGACCAAATTTCGTGGGTAGGCTATGTGAGCAACGGTGCACAGTTTCCCACCCTGCAAAGGATACGACGTTTCGTTTACATCTTCATCGGGGTGGGACTAAGCATTTGATATTGAAGAAAAACTGTGGGTCGATTTCGGCATAATCGGGGACGGGCTACAGGATGACGCCCTCGACGTTTCGAACCGATGGATGTCTCTAAATGGACGAAATCATCAGGATTTTACGCAATTATGGGTCGATTGGAACCAAACTCGGCACGTGGATAAAGATACCCGAATGCAGTTCTCAGAAGGACAGACGGGCAGGCGAACAGACAGATTCGCAATTATGTGTGCACATAGTGCACACATAATTTTTTTTTTTGCAAGGTATACTTGAGTGGGATTTACTTGAACAACGGCAACATTTTACTTGTTAGTTTAATATTGTTTAGTAATTTTTATATGTACATAATTGAACAGAATGTAGAATTTAAAAATATCATTTATTTACAAGATTTTGTAGAATTAGAAAAAGTTAAAGTAGTAAAATGAGTTAATAGACAAACAAACAAAAACCTCACCATTGCATCGTAGACACGTTATATTTTTTAATATTTTAAATTGACAAAATTTTTGATAGATTTATAGAACATATCTGTAAGTGTCCTTACCGAATAGCATGGAGACAAAGAAAATCATAATAAATACGATAGTTCGATTTAATTTCTTAGGAAATTCATATTTTTTCATTTCCTCTTCCACTTCTTTCCATTTCCTCATTAGTTTGTTCCATTTTCTAGCTAGTTCCAAAAAAACTAAACCAACATAGGTAGACGCAGCATATCTTGTAACATATGCGACTTGGAAAACGTTGAACTCGTTAGTAACAGCCTTTCTGATTTGCAAAACACATAGAAACATCGGTCCAATAATCGTAAAGATTGCATAGAAAAACCTAACAGATTTCCATGAAAATTCTGGATTATCAGAAATATTTTGAAGAGGAAAATATCCGAATATTTGACCAAGTACGATAACTTTTTTTAGTGATTTGGTGATTGTCATACTCTCCATATTTTAATATGTTTGATTTGTTATCGAGTCTAAAGCCAGACTGGCGTATACGTGTAGGTTTAGTGTCAATCTTAGGTTTTATTTACATTGTAAACAGCTAGAGTAGATCGAAAACTAATATCAATATCACGAAAATTTGTCATAGATAATTGGACGTTGTGAGTACTAAATTGGTAGTTTAAGAATTTGTTATTGCTTGGGTTATTTTTGGGTGATTGAAAAGAGTATACTATATTAAAATATGGCCTTTATTTAATATAATTTATTTTATAGTTTAAAAATAGTTTAATAGTTTATGGTACGGTTAACTTAGCCTTTTTTATAGTTTTGGAACTTAATAACAACCAGTTCGTATACAATTACAGATGTGGCTATCTGAAACACAAAATGAAAAATAAATTACTATTTAATATAATAATAATTTTTATTCAAGGTCATCTTTCATTCATTTTATTAAAAAAAAAATTATCACCGGGTGCGTCTCAAAAGTGGCTCACCTCTGTTAACTTTTTTATTTTCTTCAGTTAAAAAAAACGAGATTTGGTATGTTAGTATATTACATAAATTAGGATTGATTGACGTATTTAATTGTTTTTGGTCACTTCCAATTTCACCGGAAACGACTACAACTTTTAATTTTTGAATGAGACCTTTGGTATTTTTTTACTTTATTTGATATAAAATGACACTGAATAGAATGACATATCATATGTCAACTTTTCACATTTTCGCATATGATTTATTTGAAATTGTAAGATGCGGTTTATAACGACAATTTGACTTGAAATACCAAGTGTGTTGTACCAAATTATTAGTAAAAAATGCTTTTTCTAAGTATGCTAATGAACCACCCTTTTTCTATTTGAAAAAATGAAATATGATTAAAAATACAATTTGGGAATCTTTTAACCGGCCATGACATGACACGAAAAACGTTAGACAATCAAATCAATTTTTTCAAGGCTTTTTTATTAAAAATTAGTGTTTTTAACACAGCCAGAGCACTCTAGATTGAAATTTTAAATACGAATTTTTTCAAGTCATTCTACTCAGAGTGTCATTTTCTATAGATTTAAGTAAAAATATACCGAGGGTGCCATTTAAAAATCAAAAGTTGTAGTCTTTTCTGGTGAAACAGGAAGTAACTAAAAACAATTGAATACGTCAATCAATCCTAATTTATGTCATATAAAGAAGGAGTTGGGGTCATATCTGGAATTCCTCCTATAGATCTCCAACTGATAACCAGGTGGCAGGAAAAATGGACACAGGGGACCTATAAAAGATGGAGGTTCAAACTGATTTCAAATGTGAAGAGATGGTTGGATCGACCGTGTGGTTAAGTGCACCACTACCTCACCCAGGCATTATTGGGGCATGGTTGCGTTATAAAGTATCTATATATAAGAGGTAGAGCAAACACCCCTGTGTGCAACCAATGCCAGGAAGAAGGGGATGCAGAAAATTTTTTGTTCAAGTGTCTCTGATGGAATGAACGAAGAGAATACTTTAATTTGGTTTACTTAACCAAACAAACCAAACAGGCAGAATATTTGATATTGATGAGGTAGTAGAAAGATGGTAGGAACTGAACAAGAATATCAGGATGTGACAAACATAATGACAGACATAGTGAGAGAGAAAGAGACCAGCAACATGTTTTAAAGTAGGTTTTATACTGCCACTGCGATGAAGTAATGCGCGAGCGGTTCCGTTGCAGTTGTTGAAGTAAAAGGAGGCGGTTTTTTTTAATCGGTAAGAATCCGACACTACATCGACAACTAAACACCAGTAGTGGTGTCTTATGCAAGATTTTTTCCCTCCAACCAAAAAAACATCAAATACAAACGCATACCTACCTTTAAAATTAGCGATTTCGTCACTTTAAACATTTTAAGACCGCTCAATGCTGGAGGACTAACAGTCATGTTCAATACAAATCGATCCACCTACAATAATTGATATACCTTATACTAAAATTATCATATGCAATTAATAACAGATAGACAGAGTGTGTTCAAAAGGTCGCAATAAATGACAGTTCTTGAAATATTAAATTAAGTTATAATTAAGTCTATAATATCCTACACATCTGTTTCTTGGAAAATGTTAATTACCTCTACATTATAAATATCACTCGGCACTGAAAATAGTCTTTTAGTTACTTCTTGGCTTTCAGAATCAATGGAGGCTGCAAACCAAGTTACGATAACCAATCTGGATAAAATTATAATAAAGGATAAAATAAAGTACAATCTTTGAACAAGACTGGAATCCGAATTGTAATATTTTCCATTTTCGTAAATCCTAAAATACAAAATACTGTTAGCTTTCAGTTAGTTGTAATTAATATTTTACTAATGATAGTTATAGGACGTAGAGATTAAAACGTTTTTTACAATAATCTACGTTAGTTTTCGAATACTATTCGTATTTATAAAGGAAGATTAAATGTGAAATCTTCTAGTACATATCTAAACTTTATATTGGGAAAATGGGTATCATAACAAGCGAAATTATGAAAAATAATATTTATATCTTTTCTATTCGTAGCACTGCATTACAGGAAAATATCTGAGTATAGGCTTGGTGCATTTTCCGCTGGTGCTGCCACTATCGGGGAATATCGTAAACAACTAGTATATACAAATGCAAGGGTTTATATAGCGAGTATACGCAAAATGTATTATATAATTATTCTAAAACTGTTAGGATGTATAATAGGGTGGAACGAAAAAAAAATTCCAAAATATTTTCACACAAGCCTCAAAATGTGCCTTTAGATAAGTTTTTTTTTTTCTCAAAAGCTGAGTGTCCTGCCTTTGTATCTTCAGGTTCCTCACGGGCCTTAAAAGCTGAGATATTTTGAAAAATATTTGTTTTTTTGCCCGTCAACATATTTGATAATTATTTATCTTTTACCATAACCCAATAATGTTATCCAAACTAAATCACTTAAATTATTGTTTTGCGGTTCCTCAATATATTTGAAACTTGTCCACCTGCATGATAAACTACCATCAGTGGCACTTGCCTGTGACAAAACCGCTACCGCTATAATCGCAAATGCTGTTTTAGAGGATATTGGAGTAGTGTCTAAAAGCAGTTCTACACAGATAGTAGATAGAATGAAGATCAGGAGGGCCAGAATGTCTCAACGTAACGTTTGTACTAGAGTATTAGGTGAATGGTCGTTATTAGGCGTGTTTTATTGACAGTTTCAATTCTGTGTTATTAGACAGTTTCAATTCTTCTAAATTTTACAAAGGCTAGAGTTTCACAGTTATCTAGTTTCTGTCCAATAACACCTTTGAGTCCACCTGGACCCGAAGGTTCACCATCTAGTTCTTTTACTAAATGTCGCAAAGGAAGTTCATTTAAATGGAATAAACAAATTAACCATTGTAAGGGACGTTTTAATTCTTTTTCCAACAAACGAATAACGCCATTTTTCACTCCCGTATTCACGACAGTTCCATCTGTCCCAACTGCTACTAAACCTAATACACTAGTACAAACGTTACGTTGAGACATTCTGGCCCTCCTGATCTTCATTCTATCTACTATCTGTGTAGAACTGCTTTTAGACACTACTCCAATATCCTCTAAAACAGCATTTGCGATCACAGCGGCAGCGTGATCTGAAACTCTAGTTTTGTCACAGGCAAGTGCCATGGATCGTAGTTTATCATGCAGGTGGACAAGTTTCAAATATATTGAGGAACCGGAAAACAATAATTTAAGTGATTTAGTTTGGATAACATTATTGAGTTATATTTTATAGTCATATTAAGCAGTGTGTTAGAGGTAAAAGATAAATAATTATAAAATATGTTGACGGACAAAAAACAAATATTTTTCAAAATATCTCAGCTATTAAGGCCCGTGAGGAACCTGAAGATACAAAGGCAGGGCGCTCAGCTTTTGAGAAAAAAATTACTTATCTAAAGGCACATTTTGAGGCTTGTGTGAAAATATTTTGGAAAATTTTTTTTTAGTTCCACACTAATGTATAATTTGTGAAAATTCTAAAAATAAAAATAAAAAAGTAAATATTCTGATACCGTCAGAAGGTCTAACTTGTATGATAATTTATTATTTCAGCTAAAAAGCTTTTTAGATGAGTTCAACTACGGTAGCGAGCATAGTTTTAAACATCGGTTTTGCTAGTAGGGTCATAATTGGGGCTATTTCAGCTATATCGAAATTTATCAAAGGTATACAGGGTGTCCCAGAAATAAGTGCAAATATTTTAACTGGTAGTATAGTTCAACCCCAGAAACACGCCTCTGAGTTCTTTTTCGCGAAAAAAAAATTTGAAAATTCGAAATTTTTTGGAATTTTTTTTAGTTTTTAGTTAAAAAACATAATTTCTTGATAATATGGCAATATGGTAATATAGGTATTAGATTAGATTTACTAGAAAGAAAATTCAGAAAAGATCCAGTGGTTCTCAAAATATTAGCAAAAAATAATTTTTTTGGAAAATTTTCAAGTAAAATAACTCCGTTATTTTGGATTTATTTGAAAAACGATAAAGAGAAAATATGTTTCTTTTATCGAGATCTACCACCCCTTAAAATATTTGCACTTATTTCTGGGACACCTTGTATAATAATTATAATTTCAGAAGATGTTCATAAAACATTGGTTCACTAGTCGATTAAAAAAAGTATACCATTAATATTGCAAATTATATTTTATCCTCTCATAGTATATATCTATTTATTTTTTTGATTATGAAACGAGCACTTTGTTTATTTACCTGTTTCGTCAAACTGTTTGAATCCATTATTGCTTTTGATGTGAGTTATAAAATGTTGTTTCGGGAGAGTTGAATATCCGAGAAAGTTGAGTTATTGAATGTTATTGCGCCCAAAAATGCCCTCATTTCGCTCTCCTTTACGCGTTAACATTTTTATGCAACTTTATTAACATTTGAAATTGTCACAATACAACAAAACGCCAACGCCTAGTTTGAATTCTTTTTTCTTATTTTTTACTACCCGAAACAGCGTTACCTCACACAAATTTCGTACCTGAGTGTTTTATAATTTCAATAACTGCACTAGCAAAAAACTAAAATACCTAAATATTATGACAAAGCCACGATTTCAATATTATTTTAATGCGATCAACATGAACTGTAACCGGGACGGCCGGCGGCGTGAAATACATACTGTAATTTCTGATTTCTGCCGTTGAAGCGCTGCGGTCGGAATTTGTTGAAATCAACTGAAATTCACCAAGCCTATAGCGCCACTGAAAAAGGTAATATGATATTTTCCAGGAATGATGATAGTTAATTTATAATTGATATAACTATTTTGTTCATTAACTTGATGAATTTAACACGCCATTTTATGTATTATATTGTTTTTTTGTTGGTTAAGAAACTATAAATTGAAATTAATTTAATTATACTACGGAATTACTTTTATTTAAACAATACTCAGCAAAAGTAGAAGTAGAAGTTGTTTTTTCTCTTATACAGGGTGTCTTAAATAAGTGCAAATATTTTTAGTGCTTGTAGGTCTCGATAAAAAAACATAAGTGTAGTTTCTTTATCGTTTTTCAAATAAATCTGAAATAAGCGAGTTATTCAAGCTTGAAAATAAAAAAAAATGATTTATTTAAAAAATTAGAGCCACCGGATTTTTTTTATTTGTATCTCTTTTAGTGCTGTAACCATAGAGTAAAGCCGTAACCATGCATGATACAAAGAAAACAAGTTATGATTGATAGCAGCTCCAATTTCGTTCAGTTCGCGCATATCACCTGTGACGTTACTACGCCACACAAAAAATCCATATTGTTCAATTGCCACTAATAAAGAAAGACATAAAATAGGGAAGAATTAGGACATAACCTCAGAAGTTATGTCAAATCATTGAGCTTGACATTTTAAAAGTAATTTTCACATTTATTATGTGTCATCAGTTTGGCGATTTGAAATTGGCACGGAAACTGCTGACCAATGGTGCCGTTATCACCTATGACGTAGCGACCAACCTGCGCAATATCATACCTTGTTTTCTTTGTATCATGGTAACCATAGTAATATCAGAGATTAAGGAATTATACTGTGAGAAAATTTGCGCTGAACAAGTAGTTCTAAAATATACAGAAAAATTTCAAAGAAAATGCACGATTTTCAAAAACTTTGAAAAAAAATTCATTGACGTGTTTGTATTGTTGAAATATAGCACACCTAAAATATTTGCACTTATTTAAAACTCACTCTGTATACTTGTGTACATTTACATTATTTTATTATTAAATAATTATATACTTACTTTATAAATTCTAAAAGTTGATATATAACTACAAACAACTTATTTCCAAAGGAAATTACTAATATATGCGTAACATATTTCTCTGTACATTCGCAAACATCGCATATTTTGATAAAGTGTTCCCTAATATTTTGCCATTGATATTCTTCTTTGATCTAAAAAGTTAACTAGACTCATTAAAGATAATAATATTTGAAGATGAAATGGCGTTCGCAGGTTTAGGACTAGAAAATAAATAACTTTTTATTTAAAAAATTGGCGACGTTTCGACGTGTATTTTCGACTTTATCAAGGCATTTTTGAGCTAAAAGGTTCTTTTGTCAGAAGTAATTAATTAGCTTATCCTAATAGTATGGGTACAATCCACAACACTACACATAATAGTCTGTCTATATTGACAAGACATTAAAACACACTACACAATAATATAAAATATCTACAGTTTCTTTTATAATACAAAAATTCAAAATTTACAATCGCAGTATAAAGATCAAGGGAATACAGATGACTATTTATTGAGTCATAATAATTTTAAAATTATTGGGAAATAAAAAAATTGAAAGGTTTTTTGTTACAAAAAGTTTAACAGAAACTGATTTATCACAATTTTTTCAAAGAAAAATTCATGTTTACTTTTTGTCAATAATGACATGTATTGACCATTTCCATTCTAAATATATAGTATATTTATACAGGTACGGATGTAAAGTTATTACTCTACAAAACAGTTAAAACACATGTAGGTGGCGCCCCTTATAAGTAGGAGTCATATTGCCATCAAAGTCAAATTTCAGATGTCAAAAAACACCCAAACACCAAATTTTATCCAAATATCCAGTTCAGAGAATATGTTGAAAACACCGACATTAAAATGAAAATTCTACACCCGTATCTCCGAAACGAAATATTTTATGACATACCGTATATGGACTTGTTACCGAAGTTTCCCAAATACAATTCAGACCACCCTGTATACTTTAGAGATATAGGTCGACTATAATAAATCAAGAGTCTAAAGATAGAAGCTTTATTGGCGCTCTTTTCACGTACTTTTTCTTTATATTTTGTCACGTAAATATAAAGCAGTTTAAACTTGCCCGCGTAGTGACTATAAAATTTTGTATAAAACTGAGAGATCACACACAAATTGCTAAATCCCCATAATCCGAGTTTACTTGAGTAAGATGTATTTTTAGCACCAGAGCTTCAATTCATATCTATATTACGAATGTACATAGTATGTTTTGTCCATGTAATGTACATAATATTGTATATGTGTATATAGAGAATTTACGATAGTACCAGGCTAATACACCATTTCATCTGTTAATACGTTATTACAACGTTATTACGTAAAACACCATTTCATCTATTAATACCGTCATAGTATGAATCTGGCCTGGACATTTACTAAAATATCCATAAATTATGGTCAATATTGAATGTTACTCTTATATTTGCCTTTGACAGTCATTGACCGCCCAATAACGATACTGATTACATAGTATTAGGAAATGTTGAAATGCGAACCAAAAAAACACAAGATATACTAATTAAGTAACTATTCTTTTTATTATTGATGTAATGATAAAATGAAATAATTAAAAAAAAACAAATGAACTAGTTTATGAAATATTAATAATAAAATTTATCATTCTTTTTTGCATAAGGTACAGATGAGTGGCAATTCGAATTGTATTCACTAGCACTGCGTTTTTACCGTCCCGTAACGATTTAATAAGAGCAAAAGGATTGTGTAAATAATTTAATACTATCATCTAAGGGTTGGTAAGCAGTACCAAGTCCTACGTAGCCAATAGAAGCCCAAACTTTTTTTTATCATATTCTATAGGTTTTGTGGAGAACTTCTTGGATTCGCCGACTTGCCACACGCTCTCAACTCAGGTCAGTGGAACCTCTTATTGTTAGATGGCACTAGTTTGTTCATGTAATACATTTAACATTTGATTAGCACTAGATTCCATGCGAACCTTGTATTTATTAATCGTATCTATGTAACTTATCCTTTACCTGTAAGTTATAAGTGCATACTAAGAGATGATTTACAAACAAGCCTGCAATTTAAGTAGAATTCATTTTATAGTTCTTATACTGTTATAGAATTTCGATTGCTAGGTAAACAAAAGAAAGACATTTTTGAATACATCTTTGATGACATTTGAATTTGAAAGAAAGACGTCTTGAAGACTCATTTGGCGTCATTTTGAGAACTCTAAACATTTCTACTACTTTACGTTTACTTCGTTATTTAACTATCTAATTTTGATTTACAGAGAAATTATTTGTTTTCACGGTTTTATCTACGTGCTTTTTCTGTGTTTAACGTTTTATTTACCAGCCAATTGACGACAGCTTGGCGTTTTTATCTCAGGTCCATCCTTGCATTTCTTGAGTATTTAGAACTGTACAGTTTATTTACCCAATGTTTTTACCCTTTTCATAATAGCTTGGTAGTTTTAATAGTTGTAATAATATTACAGTCACAGCCCGACTCTACTTAACAAGCCGTGAACAACTATTTGGCAACGCCGCAACCGGCAAGAGATTCAAATCGGTTTCTAGCGAGCGTGAATGCAGGACGGACCATTTTACCGGCTATCGAGGCGCGTATTTTGAAATTAATTTAAGGTTTGCTCAAACTTGCCACATAAACCAAAAAAAAATTGCCACATTACTTGTCAAAAACAGTCCCTGTTCCCGAAAAAGTCGAAAAACCGAAGAAATGCTTAAATTGTTCACTTCGATCTTGCATTTTTTTGGTTCTTTCAGCAGGACTTTGTCCTGCTGTGGTAAATTTGGAAATAAATAGTAAATAATAGTAATTAGTAATAAAAGTAATGTGGCAAATTTGGAAAGCTACTAGGCACTGTATTTAACTTTAGTCTAGTTTTAGTAGGTACCTTTTGCATTGGTCCATCTGGCAAGCGATAATCCTCCTCCCTAATAATGTCACTTTCTACAAAATGCTTAGCACAAACCACAGGATATTTTGAGGGTGACCATGCCTCCCTAGGAATATTCCTAAGCCATTGGGCTTTAAGATTTTTATCCTTTGGAAAGGTAAAAACAGATACCGCTAATTCTCCTGCATCAAGACAAGTTTTATAATTGGATTTGCACCCAGGCACACAACAAGGACTTGACATGGTAATTTTTGATTACAACAACTAACTTTCAATAAATTGTTTTAAAAAGCACCACAAAATGTTCATTCGCCACCGAATTTGCCGTCATTCTTTGAAGAAAGCACTTAACCTCGCTTATAACCCGGCGAATTTTTCAGCCGCGGATATTTGTTTTTACGTAATGTCTAAGGAAAAAAATTGTCCCGGTAACTTACAAATATCACACAGTAAGACTTTTCACAACTTTAGTCATTAACTAAACAATATTTTCTTTTAAAAAAGGGGGTTTATTTACAAAAACATAACAGAGCAACAGGTCAATGAACGTAAATCATATGACTAAACGGGTATCGATCGATCTGAAACCAGGGTTGCCAGATTTCCTAGTTCACGGCTTGTTAAGTAGAGTCGGGCTGTGTTACAGTTTATTGATATACATAAGCATTCAAAAGGTAACTTGCAGGTGTTTTATAACTTCCTTTAATGAGATGATCCTATCTAAAACCAACACCCACAAGACAAATTTTAGCTAAACGGAAAATAATATGTTACATTTTACCCTCCCCTAAAGAGTGAAGCTATTGTTTAGAAAAAAAACAAATATAAAAGGAAGAAACTAAATCTGAAAGGATATATGAGATAAAACAAAATAAAAATCAAACAAAATTAGATCGTCAAAAAAACAATGGGTTCACAATATTATTTCTGCTAAACCAACTCCTCTATTACTAACTACATATAATACTAACAATAATAACCGCGGCGAACATTTTTATTTGGCAAATTTCGATCACGACACTTAATTTTTGTCAAATCGTTTACATCCATTATTTTTGAAAATTATTAAATTAAACTAAAATAACGATTAATATCAATTGCACTATAGTGTGTAAATATCAGCTGACAAACAAGAAGTAAACAAAAACATAAACTTTTACCAGGACCGCCCCCACTAAAAAAGAAATTAATGTCAATACCCGGGCGAAGTCATAAAATCGACAGAGAGTTTTTCTGCAACTTACCAATATTGTCCGACTACTTTAGATTTTTGCGTTAATGGCCAGTCAGTAACAACAGTTTCCAACCTTAGTGGGTATTTATAATATTTTCCGGTCAATACTGTTAACGACAGGTTTCAAAAAATTGTTCTTAACATATGCAATATCACATATTGTTATAAAATTATACTTTTTAATGTTATAGTAAGAAATATTATACTTCCTGTACTATCGTGACTTGCACTTAATTAATTTCTAAATTTATCACAAATAACTTTCATCTCTAAATTTTGACTTGAGCACGGTAATCAAAACACAGTCAACATACATATTAGTAGACCAGCATTAGTTGACGTAAAGCTGTTATTCATGAATGTGGATACTACATTCTCGTTAGGTATAGTACGTAATTCGTATTACAAAGGCATATTATAGACTTATCAATAGAATAAGTCCATGTAGAACGAGTGGAAGGGAGTTAATCATCGCAACCTTAAAGACCTATTGTGTCCATCTTTTTTAAGTTAAAACTCATTATATTCTGGCAACAGATGTTCATCGTCCGAGGAGTGGACTCGTACGAGGGTATACAGCCTTTCACGTTAGAGGTTTAGCCCTCCGTGCCTTTCATATTCGAGGAGCTTTTCTCCGGCTGAGGTACCCGTGAGCACCTCTTCCCATTTTTTCCACTTCTTTAACTTGGTCTCTCCTTAGACCTGATACGGGTGTTGTCCCGAATCTAAAATAGAGATATCTCTCTTTCTCTATTGACTCTATGGATTTGGCCATGGTCCTCTGCTCCCTCGAGTTGATGAGTCGCCAACTCGATGTCCATATATTGCAATTCTGGCAAAGCTGGTGATAAGTTCCTGCTTGCCTCCCGCTGTTGGACTTGGGGGAGGGATTCTTCCTAACATCTGACTAGGAGCTTCCCCACCAAAGACAAGGTCTTGCATCTCCTAGAGGAAGTCATGCATTTCATAGGGGAAGTCCATAATAGCGTAGCACGGCATGCTAAGAAATTTGCGCACATCTTTTTTTGTATGTAATAATGCTTTACAATTTGTAACATGCTTTTAATGTAATTTTTTACGAAAATACTATTCAATGAATATTTTAATATAATAATAATAATAATAATAATAATAAATTGCCTTTATTTTACTTTACTTACTATTAAGTCAGGCCAGACAAAGTAAAGATCCAGGATAGGGGCCTTTACTGTGTTTGCTACGGTACGTAGGGCAAGCCGTACAGCCTGTAGCCACACCCCGACGGGAGCGGGCCCCTCCATTGCAGACTATCTTCCCACACACCTATCCCATTACAGACACACAACATAAAACTAGACCTTAATTGGTCAAAGTCTGGCCGAAAGGGATGCAATCCAGCATGCTCTTGTTGCTATCGAATGTGTAAACGATACTGCCAGTAACACCAGTTGTCCGCTGACCTTGTTACCCTATCCTTTAGATCCATAAGCTCCTTAAAAATTAATTCACCCATAGTACCCAAATCCTTTGCTAATCCTCCGTAGATCTTTTCTTCCTTTTCCATCTTCAAATATAATAGGAAAAGGGAATACCCATAATGGAATGAAAACAAATATTGGAAATAGTAAACAGCCGCTGCCTGGGGATCGCCAGGGCATGTCTGGAGCCGACGCTGGACATGACAGTATGCGGGACGTCGGTGACAAGGTGCTGAAGAGGCGGGCCCTTGTCCCAAAACAAACTACAGCCCAAACTAACAACGAAGTGGATAAGACAACTGAAACTGTTAGCTCGAATCCAGGTACAAGCCAAGATTCTGCTGACATTTCTAGAAAATCAACGAAAGGCACACGCATTAAGTGGACGAAAGAAATGAATTGTTTAGTAATCAAAATGTTTCTCCAAATTAATGAGTGCCGAGATGATCCACTTCCTGGATGGAGACAGAAGTTACACACTGAGATGAATAAAACCTTCCCTCATTTGAAATTAACGCAGCAAAATGTATCAGATCGACTTAGGGCAATATACTCTAAGAAACTATTAGCGCAACAAGAAATAGATCAGATCAGAAGAGAAGTTGGACATATTTTAACCCAAATTCAAACTAATTTAGAAATTCGAGAAGATACATCCATAGACTTCACACATTCCTATCATAGAGACACCCCAGTTGCAATAAGAGAAGTAACCGAACCAGTGAGCACTACTGAGCGCGAGACATATGAATTGTTTCAGTTCAACTATAGTTTATTTCATAGTACTGATCCTTTAAGTAGACCTCTCATTCCGCAACTGAATTTCAAAAAGAACACTACAAAAATCCTGAATGATGTAAAGTTCATATTCCAAAATCACATTAAAGACATAGATGAAATAGAACAGTTCCATCTTGCGCTATATGCTGCTGCTGTCACTACAATTGAACTCAATTGCCAACAAGTGATGGAAAAGAATAAATCTCATAAGCAGCAATTGCAGAAAGAGCCGGCATGGAAAGTTAGACTAACAAAAACTATAGACGATCTTCGAAGACAGATAAGTACAATCACCGAATACTTAAATGGTAATACCAGTAATCGAATAGCCAGAAAATTGAAAATTATCTTGAAGCATACTCATATCAACCCAGAGGAACACGAAAAGACGCGCAAGTTAATTGTGGTTAGAGATGAGCTCAGCCAGAAATGCAAGGCTAAAGGTGCACGATTGCGTAGGTACAACAAAGCAACAAGGCGTAAAGAAGACAACTTTCAATACTCCAAATGTCCTAAGAAATTCTATCAGAAGCTAGAAAATCCGACAGATGATAGGAGGATGGATATTGAAATGGATTCATCACAGTTTTTCTCATTCTGGCGGGATACGTGGGCGACACCATCTAATTTCAAGACTGATACCGAATGGATGAATGTGGTAGAAAACTCGACACATGACATAAATGCGATGCCTCAAATACAATTCACTAAAGACGATATAGCGATATGCCTAAAATCCTTACGAAATTGGCGCGCACCAGGACCAGACGGTATTCAAAATTTCTGGTTAAAAACATTTGGCGGCAATGGTGAAGCCATTGCCAGGTGCTTCAATAAAATTATCGAGAACCCTAGTGCTCTTCCTACATTCCTTGCTAGTGGAAATACTTTCCTTTTTTACAAAAAAGGTGATAGGTCAAAACCTGAAAACTATAGACCTATCACGTGTTTATCATCGGTTTATAAACTACTTACAGCTGCAATAACTTGCAAAATATATGACCATTGCACGCTTAATAATATAATTGCATCCGAACAAAAAGGGTGCATCAAAAACTCATTAGGTAGTAAAGAACAGCTTACTATAGATGCAATATTGATCAAACATGCACAGGTGAAACGCCGGAATATCAATATGAGTTACATAGATTATAGCAAAGCATTCGATTCGGTACCGCATGACTGGCTGATTAAGGTTCTAGATATCTATAAAATTCACCCATCTATTAAAATGTTGCTAAATACTGCAATGAAAAAGTGGAATACACAGCTTTTTGCTAACAACACAAACTTAGGCCAAATTGACATCAAAAAGGGAATATTCCAAGGAGATTCACTGAGCCCACTGTGGTTTGTGTTATCCCTTAACCCGCTATCACTCCTACTTAACTCAACGACACATGGCTACAGACCAAACCCTAAGGAAAACAACAAAATTAGCCATCTTATGTTTATGGACGACATTAAATTATATGCAGAAACACCGGCCCATCTTCACCAACTAATTGACACAACCAAGACATTTAGTAATGATATTCAAATGAATTTTGGAATGGAGAAGTGCGCAACAATATATATTAATAAAGGTAAGTGGCAAAACGAAAACTTACCAATATCTGAAATCAAACCACTCAGTCAAACAGATACGTACAAATATTTGGGAGTGGCGCAAAACCGGTCGATAGATCACACTACGCTTAAGAAAGAATTTAAGGAAAAATACAGGAGCCGACTAACCAAGCTTTTAAACACGTATCTCAATTCGCGAAATCTTATATCAGCTGTTAATTCTTGGGCTGTGTCAACACTCACGTATTCCTTTGGGATATTGAGGTACTCAGATGCAGACCTGGATGAACTGGACCGACTTACACGCCGGCTGCTCAAAAAATTTAGATGCCACCATCCGCAATCTGCGTTGGAAAGATTATACTTAAAAAGAAAAGAAGGAGGTAGAGGTCTGCTGAATATTAAGTCATTGTGTAGATCACAGGAACAGAGTATGAAAGCATATTTTATAAAGTCAAATAGCAACCTTCATAAATTAATTGTTACGGCGGACAACAAATATACCCCACTAAATTTAAGCACAGATAATGGTGATATCCAACAAAAGAAAACGACAATGGTTGATGCCCAACATTCTTGGCGACAAAAAATTCTTCATGGCAAGTTTCCTGCCTCTCTCGATGATCCAAATATCGACAAAGAAAACTCCCTTACTTGGTTGAGAAAAGGAGTTCTGCACCCTGAAACTGAAGGATTTGTAATATCCATACAAGACCGTGTCATACGCACTAGAAACTATGAAAAACATATATTAAATAAAAATGTCCAGGATACCTGTCGAAAATGTGGAGCAGCTAATGAAACAATTGACCATGTCATAGCCGGATGTCCCTGTTTATCGGACACAGCTTACCTCGCAAGGCACAACCAGATCGCTAAAATCATACACAAAGAAATGGCTCTAAAATACCGCCTTATAGAACATCCACCTCCTTATTATCGCTACTCACCTGAACCGGTCTTGGAATCAGCTCATTTAGTGCTTTACTGGGATCGCCCGATCATAACAGATAGAACCATCGACTACAACAGACCAGACTTGGTACTAATAGATAAGGACAACAAGAAGGCACTAATAATAGATATAGCATGCCCCTTAACTCACAATTTACACAAAACTGAAGTAGAAAAAATACGAAAATATGAGAATTTGGCTGTCGAGCTGAAGCATGTATGGCAATTGAGCACAGTAGAAATAATACCAATTGTAATATCGGCATGCGGGGTTATGACTACTAACTTAAGGAAAAATATAGACCGGCTCGGATTGTGTAAAGAACTCAGCAGTCTGATGCAAAAAAGTGTACTCCTCCAAACCTGTGCAATAACGAGAAAATTTCTAAATGTTTAGCAGAATAAAATGAAGTTTTTCTCTGCCACATAGTAAATTGAACCAGCATTAGCTGAGAAAGCAAAACCAAAAAAATAATAATAAATTGCCTTTATTTTACAGAAAAAAAAATACATAAGACGGTAACGAAATTGCAAGTCTGGCGTAGTCTAGCTGCAATAGCTACTCAACTTAACCAGAACATGCAAACTCAATAATTAAATATAATGTTTTACAAATTGCCTTAAAAAAAAGTTTCAAATGTACAATGCAAGTAAAGTATAAAAAAAAAAGAAAAATATGAAAAATTACGAATGCATTAAAAGATACTCTCTGTATTTATGCTTAAACGCATTCTCACCCAAATTCAACAATTCTGTTGGTAACGAGTTATACCCCTTAACGGCATTATATATTATTATATATATTATATATAAAACAAAAATTGGCTATTCAGGTAATTACTTAAATCTTTTTAAACATAAAATACGTCGAATTATTATCGATGTATGAATGATAAATAAATTATTTTACTACATACAACACACTGAATTGCGTTCTAAAACCGACAGAATAGGCCGTGTAAATGTCATTATTAACTTTAAAAAAATACCCCATATTTTTAAGTCTAAAAATAGTTAATTATATATAAATATAGGTTTTGTTAATAGATATAGGTCAACAACTAAATAAACAACTTATTTATTTATAGAAATAAAATATTAAAAAATAAATATAGCATTTTCATACCCTCAGTTAAAAGTAAACAGTAATTTCACAAAGATTAAAATTAATTTTAGAATTGCCTACCTGATAACGTATTAGCATTGCCAATTTTCTTTCTATCTGGCGAATATGAAAACTTAGAGGAATACTCATTACTATTAAATATATGTCAGCAAAGCTCCAAACGAGTGTACATATCCAGTTAAGAATCTAAAATGAATAATATCTTAACTTTACTGAGTTTAACATTAGAGTTTTATTATTCTAGAAAAGACAAGGAGAAAATTTTCAGTGGCTCTTTGGTTTTTTAATTTTTTTTTTCAATTATTTATTAATAGGTAAAATTTATAATTTATTAATTTTATTTTAATTTTAGTTTTAATAACTGTGATTAATAAAATTCCGTTTATCTTATCAAGGAGGCCGAAATCGACAAAATATCAAGAGACAACTTTTAATCGCCATTAAACTTCTTACACTATTTCGCTAACAAAAGAAGAAAAAGTCAGTGGCGTACATGATTTTTTTAGAAAAATATTACAGTTATAACCCATATGCACGTCCCAGGTGAATATGTCGACACATTTTTAGCTTTAAAATATGTCGTATTTATAGAAACTTTTACCCTCAAAATTTCATTCGAAACGGTAAAATTACTTGAAAGAAAATTATAATAAATCGAAAAAAATATTAAGACTTTAACACCCTGTAGTTACGAAACAAAGCAGAATCGGACCTATGTTGATATGAAAAATAAATCTTATTCTTAATACTCATCATAATAAATACAGTTATTGCCAAAAAGTTCTCAATTATTTAAGTAATTTTTAGTATCAAGTTATTGAAAATAATATGAGGAGATCATCATACCCAAAAGGCAGAAAAATAATTTTCCATGTATTACGCAATATAAATTTAAAATTCTCAAAGTGAATTTAGATAAAAAAAAATCGAAATCTATTGAGAGAGAAAAGTTCTTTACTTTATACAGGGTGTTTCCAAAAACATGTGCCATCTCTCGTGGGGAGATTCCTCGCTTAAAAATAAGACTTAATTTTCATACCAATATAGGTCCGATTCTGCTTTGTTTCGTAGCTACAGGGTGTTTTGTTCCAAGTACTTTTAGTTTCGAATGAAATTTTGAGGGTAAAAGTTACTGTAAATGCGACATATTTTAAAGCTAAATAAATGTCAACATATTCACCATTGGAAGAAACTCATTCTTCCAATTCTTGAGTTGGCTTCATTATTTGGAAGAAAATTGGAATTAAATAATAAATTGAAAGGTTATTAAGACTTTAATACCCTGTAGCGACGAAACAAAGCAGAATCGGACCTATGTTGATATGAAAAATAAATCTTATTTTTAAGCGACAAATATTTCCACGAGGGATGGCACATGTTTTTTGAAACACCCTGTATAGTTTAAATAAAAAATCGTATGTATAATTAAACTCTAAATAACGTTTCTTAAAAAATCCGTCTTCTGAATCTAAAATCATAAAAAATCGGACTTTTTGCGAATTTCTGGCTTCTCAAAAATTATAGTGGTATAGATCATCTCTAAGCCCGATGATGGGATTTTAACTTTGAACTTTTGTCTGCGAAAAAAGTCTGCGAATTGCTATGCGTCTCTACTTATTTAAATATAAAAAATATTTATTATAAGTATTCTCTACTTATATTATTATTTTTATATTATTTTTGACTATATGACTAGTTTTAATTTTAATATAAGTTTTTAAGTTTTTTAACATACCTGTAATACATATGCAATATATCTGTGGTAAGGAATGACAAAAAATATGTAATTAAAGGTGGCCTGAAAATATAAATCCAGACTTTCTTCAAAAGACATATTTGGTCTGAATAGTTTCTGAGAGATCATGTAGAATATATGTTCACCTATAACAGCAAAATTACATAAAAGATGATTATTGTAAATGATGGAGAATTTTTAAGAATAAAATAAATAAGTTTAGTTATAAAATACTAACATTTAGCAAAAATATTCGTTGTTTCGCATATTTTAAGGATTGTGTTTATAGTCTCATATTACTAATATTATATTTTTATATTAATATTATGTTATTGTATTCATAGATAAGTCCGACAATAAATACAAAAGTGTAAATGTTTAAACCAATCTTATAGTAAAAGAAGTTCAGCAGTTAAAATTAAATTACTAATCAATCTCAAACAAAAATGTCTTTAAGGAGAAATAATAATAAATAAATTATTGAGAGAATGTGAAAAAAAACTATGGTTGAAATTGTCAATTTGGTCCCAGTAAAGTTGAAAATGTGTTAAAAATACACCTTTCAAAATATTTTTAATATAAGAAATTTGCTTTGTTTATCTGTATTACTAAATTTTTACATAATTTTAATTTACATGAAATTTATTTTGTGAGTAGTTGATAGATACTGTAGATACTTGTTTTTATGTTAAGAAAAATGTGAAATGGTTCCTAAATTACTACAAATAATAATAATTATTTCATACCTACGCCAAAAACAATAAATAGTGTAGCTACTATTTTCATTTTCTTTTGGTAATTTTCCACTATAGGATATGCTTGCATATTGGAATCTACTTCGGCCCATTGTTTCAGAAAATATTTCCATGTTTTGGCAATATTTATAAAATACACCTCATACAAAAACACTGTAAGGAGATAAACAAAGCCAGCTGAAAAATTAACCAATCTTATTTTTTTATATAAAGAATTATACGACATTTTGTATTACATGAATATACGAATTTATCTTGTTGATGCACTAAATAGTTGAAAAATAACAGTACAAAAACACCAGTCATAAACGTGAAGGATACTGAAGCAATCGTCCTAATGGAGGACCATGAGAAGCGCACGAACGAATAATTTTTACCCTTAACACCATCGATTGGAAAAATGAGCAAACATTGCCCTAAAACGGCTAAGAAAGAAAACGATTTTTGTGCAGATATTGCCATTACACAAATATTTTTGAAAACTCAACTAAGAATCAATTGGGATACATTATAAGTACTTACACGATGTTACGTCGGTGTAACAAATAACAAAATATTTTCCTTTATCGTTGTAGTTATTTTCAACTTTCTATGAGTTAATTAAGAACGAATAAAAGATAACACATAATAGTTAATCGATAAGTAATATTTATTTCGATATATAATGGAAATTTTTGTTGCATTAAGTTTTATAAAGGTGTTATGAGTTTCTACGGTAGCTGAGACGAACGGTTCTCAACATTTTGTTATGTGTATTCTATCTAAAATATTATTTTTTTAGTAATTCTTGTTGGATAAATTGAAACAAATTTACATATGTTTTCGAAAGAGTAAAATTTATTTGGTTTTATTATTTATTTTCTTTAGTAAATTATATATATATATATATATATATATATATATATATATATATATATATATATATATATATATATATATATATATATATATATATATATATATATATATATATATATATAATGTACACTTGTACATTATCACAGAAACATTCTTTTATTTGTTTTGGTTTGGTATGGTAATATTGCTGATAAATTCTATAGCGACTATGTGTTCTTCATTGTTAAGGTGCTCTGCCAGGAAACATTGGTCCAAGAGATTCGCGGCAAAATGCATTGGTTTAAGAGCCATACGTTTTCTATTTTGTAAGGCGGAGAAGCATTCTTTTTCTTCTCATTTTTCTTCTCAAGAATAGGCATACTTGATACACTTTCGTTAAATTTTTGCTCAATGTCTTGAATTTTGAAAAGAAATTTTTTTGCAAAATTCGGATTTTTGCGAATATTCCCGATTTTGGGACCAAATATTTCTGAAATTTGTGAAATTTCCTGCAAAATTCGAATGGAAATATTCGCTACCAACATCACTAAATGTACGTGAAGATAAGAAAAGGGTTGGCTTAAGATTTCAGGCTTGGGGTGATATTAAAGGTATAAATAGGTATGGATGGGCCCAAATAATCTCAAACAAATCGCCATATTAAATATAATAGTAAAAAAATAAAACAGTAATATACAATCCCTTATTTTTTGTCTTCTTCCCAAGCAGAAGCTTCCTATTGCATTGTCAACTCAAACTCTAAGCTAGTTAAAAATATATAATAAACCTACAGCAGTCGTTGCGAAACTCAAACTCGCTGTTAGCGTTAGTGCTTTTAAATTTAGAAAACATTTAGTATTCGAATACTTCGTTGAGAATCGAATGCATTCGAATACACACTTGAATTGAATACTTCGATTATTTGTATTCGAATATTTCCTTCACTAATATTCACGATAGTTGCCGTACCATCATAATTGAAATGCGAAAGTAGAGTCGTTTTTATATTGCGTATTTTTTTATTAAATTCTATGTATGAAGTAATATAGTTTCTGTTTTATGATGGTGTTTAATTATTTCTTCAGTTTTGTTCATAATTTGTAACACTTCCAAATTGGTAACATGGTCCGTTCGGGAAATTTGATATATAAATGATTTGACAATTTTTGTTAACAAACCTTGCAGATGTTTAGAAACAAGCTTTACTGGATGAGTCTTAAATAAGTGCAAATATTTTTAGGGGTAGTATATTTCGACCAAAGAAACGCGATTATGAGTTTTTTTTCGCGAGAAAAAGATTTTGCAAAATTTTTTAGTTTTTAGTTAAAAACATAATTTGTTGATAATATGGCAATATAGGTAGTAGATTAAATTTACAAGAAAAAAAAATTCAGCAAAGATCCAGTGGTTCTCAAAATTTTAGCAAAAAATTATTTTTTTAGAAATTTTCAAGGTAAAATAACTCGGTTATTTTGGATTTATTTGAAAAACGGTGAAGAGAAAATATATTTACTTTATCGAGATCTACCAGCCCCGAAAATATTTGCACTTATTTAAGACTCCCCTGTATATTTTGTCATTTTTAAATGTAGCCAAAAATTACGTATTTTTTCTTGCTCAAATTTATACATATTTGTAGTTGTTCATACAGAATATAATAATTAAATTAATATTATATAAAAATTCTGAAGATATACTACGTATGTTAAGAATTGAGAATTAGTAGGTTTGGAAGATTGAAAATTAATTACATTACTGCAAAATATTTATTTCTTAATACTTTTAAACCCATAAAACATATACAATGTAACACTTTGTGATACTATTACAATTAACTTTTACTATAACTTTGAAATTTTATTACAACCAATTCATAAACAATTACAGATGTAGCAATCTGAAACAAAAAAAGTCACTATTTAGTATAATACATACTACATGTTTTGCAGTAGAATAACATGTGGTAACTACTTAAAAATTGTAATAGGTTAGAACATAAAATACCGGGTTTCTGAATTTGAAAAGGTCTTATTCTCACTGTCAAAGATATAAAATTCTAATTATGGGGTAGTCTTACTGTACAATGTTCAATAGTTATTACCCACTATTCCTGCAACACAAAAAGTACAGCAGCAGGATTGCAAAACATGAATTTTAGCATTAGAGCACAGTATGGCAACCGATGCCAACTTTACCAAATGGAGCTTACTTAAAAGTCTGGTGCAAGACTGCAAAAATTCGGACTGGGTTCTTTTTTTGGATTAGAAGGAACTAGAATTAAGAGACAACTCACTACCAAATGTGTTATTAGCGAAAAAGAAAGCAGACAACAGAGTGGAAATTGCAGAAATTGTTGCAAAAAACAAAATCTCTACACCAGCGAGGCATCAATTAGGGCGTTAGAACTCGGAGCTTCCAGCTGTAAGAACAATTTCTAATTTTACAATTAACAATCTGAGAGTGATCAAACACGATTATAAGACATTTTGAGTAAACTGTGTGACCATTTAATTTATAGAAAAATTTTTGGGTACTGGAAAGGGCCAAAGGAAACAATCACATTTTGTGCAAGATTTTGCGACTTTTGTCGCTTCGCCAGACACTAAAACATATTAATTAAGTAGAAAATGAGCAACATGAATGGACGTAGAATAGTCAGATATTGTAAGTCTGTATATCAATGAAATAATGCAATTAGAGAGTATGAGCATACTAAATTATGGCATATTGACTTAGTGGAATATATTGAAGATAAATTCCTGATTTGTTGGTATACCAGTATGTATTTTCGTTCAATATAAGAACATCGAGGAAATCAGGAGTGAAGATTTATTATTTTGCTTTTATAATAATTTGTTTTTTATAAGGTAATAATTATTATTATTTAATTTTTTCTATGTAAATTATTATTAAGTAGAGAATTGTAGTTTTTATTTGATTTCACAGGGCTGAGGGATCCATAACAACATACATATTAAAGAAGAAAAAATAATTTAACAGAGTGTTATTGATTCAATAAACACAAACATTTACCTTTAAAATTAGCGATTTTGTTACTTTAAACATTTTAAGACCGCTAAATGCTGGAGGGCTAACTGCCATGCACAGCACAAATCGATCCACCTGAAACAATATTTTTAACAACTGTGTAAATGTATTAAATATAATAGCAAAATACTAATATATCGTGTACCAGTTTGATACTTGATATATTAGTATTAAATCAATTGAGTATCATCAATTTGAGTATTATGTATTTTATTTAAAAAGTTAAATTTGATTTTACTGTGTTATAAATATTTTATAAATTCCTAGATAAGAATAATTTTATATACAGTATGTCCCTGGATTGTTACAAGAGGAAAAACTTTTTTATTATTGACATTTTGAGAAAAATGCATTCTTCATAAAAATTTTTGTTTGTTCCGTAATGGCTAATCCCGTTTATACTTTTCTAAATTTCTACACCATTTTAGAGAAAATTAAAAAAAAACCTGAAAATATAGTTGAAATTCCTAAAAATCAAAACGCGTTTCTTTGATAATATAATTTTGATTTCATTCTTTGATAGATTGTTATTAATAAAATTTTAATTAATGTCATATTTTTTGCTGTTATAAAATGTTAAAGAAGTACAAAATTTATTTAGTTCAGTGCTACGAATAGTTATCGGAAAAAGTGATACTTTAACAACCACAAAAAATATGAAGATGTTAATCAAAATTATTAATAACCATCTATCAAAGAATCAAATCAAAATCATACAGGGTGTCCCAGAAAGTGCAACTATTTTTAGGAGTGGTAGATCTCAATAAAAAAAAACATATTTTTTTTGTATCATTTTTCAAATAAGTCCAAAATAACGGAGTTATTTTACTTCGAAAATTTCCCAAAAAAATGATTTTTTGTTAAAATTTTGAGAACCACTGGATCTTTTTTGGATGTTCTCTCTTGTAAATTTAATCTACTACCTATGTTGCCATATTATCCAGAAATTATGTTTTTTAACTAAATTCTAAAAAAAAAATAAAAGTTTTTTCCAAAAATTCCGAATTTTCAAAAAAAAAAATTCGCGAAAAAAACCTCATAGGCGTGTTTCTGAGGTTGAACTATACTACCTGTTAAAATACTTGCACTTATTTCTGGGACACCCTGTATTACCATAAAAACTCCTTTTAATTTTTAGGATATCAAAAAATTCAATAATTATTATATTTTCATGTCTTTTTTAATTTCCTTTTTTAATTTTCTCTTAAACGCTATGGAAAGTTGGGAAAGTATAAACGGGATTAACCATTTTAGAACAAGCAAAATGTTTTATGAAGAATGCATTTTTTCAAAATGTCAATAATAAAAAAGTTTTTCCTCTTCTAAAGACAATTCGGGGAAATACTGTATGATAATCCTGTAAGATACTTAAAAAATATGATATAAAATCAAAATTATTATATTTTTAAAGACCTATAACATTATTATAACCAAAAATTTCAAAAATGGTTATTACTTCCTCATTGTAAATATCACTCGGTACTGAAAGTAGTGTTTTAGTTACTTCTTCGCTGTCAGAATCAATGGAGGCTGTAAACCAATTTACGATAACTAATCTGGATAAAATAATGACAAAGGATAAACTAAAATACAATCGTTGTATTAGACTTGAATCCTCGGCATAACGTTTCCCTTGTTCATATATGCTAAAATAGAAAATTATGTTATTATATTAATAAAGAAAGCATAGATTTCTTTGCTATGGGAGACATTAGTATTTTTCTAACCATATGTTATTACGTCCCGAAATGGGGAGTGGCCAATGGGATCTCGGAAATCATACGAGATAAGAAAAACCACAAATTAAGTATATGACCAATTCTCAATTTTATGAATAATAAATTGCAATTAAAAAATTTCAAATTAAAAATACCTGTATATTTTTGAAGATATTAGAAAAGAAACGAATTATAAAATATACAGGGTGAGTTTTCTTCGATGATATGGTGAGTTTTCTTCTATGGGTATCTGCGAAACTACTGGAAGTAGAGAATCGGTCAAATGGGGAAATAATTGCGGTTTTGTGAGGACAAACATATGCTAAATATGGCTTACTAGGTATTTGGAAAACAAATTTCTTTTAAAAACGCTTTTTAATTCTATTAAAATCTATTTTCAACAAAAAGCTTTCAGATAAAAGTTGAAGAGAATCACATTCTTAATGAGACTGTATTCTCCGTTTTTTTCTAATGCATGTCATTTTTGACATATGACACAAACATTTTTTTTTAAATGAAAACCATAGTTGACCATGACTTCATAAAAAATCGTAATTTTTAAGCTTTCCAGTGATAGAAGCTATAATATGTTTTTTTCGAAAAATTGTTTAAAATAGATTATAATGGAATTAGGAAGAATTTTTAAAATTGCCAAATTTTTTTTTGAAATATCTAGTAAGCCATAAACTTGAAAAAAAATTTGAAAGGCGCATATGTTTGTTCTTACAAAACTGCAATCCTTTTCCATTTTGACCGAATCTCTAGCTCCAGCAGTTTCCAAGATACCCCATAGAGAATCGTAGAAAACTCATTCTGTATAATAAAAAGAGATTTTTTTATCCTAACTTTATTTGAAAACATTTTAAAACAAATATCACACTGTCACTTTTTTCTTTATAAGAAAGTAGAATTACATTTTAAATCTGAGGTTTCGTTTTCAAGATATCTTTATTTTTAAATTGTGAAATTGATTTTTTGTTTCTATTTTTTAGAAACTAATGACCTTCTAAATACAATGAAGTATTATATCATATGATCAAAAAGAAAACGGCGTTTTTAATAAAGGCTGAGGAATGAAAATCGACGATAATTTTGGCAAGATCAAGCCCTGTCAGTCATTACTTGGTCCGTTTTCTTTGTTTTTTAATGTCGCTTACTGCCAGTTGGCCTTAAGAAGGTTGTTATTTTAATTTATTTTTAAATGTCGTAGTTTTGTCATAACTAGTGTGTTATTTTTGACAAGTTTTATGTGAATTACAAACACAATTACATTATGTAAATCACATCTAGAGTTTGACCTCGCCAAAATTATCAACGGTTGTCATTCCCAGCATTCTTTGACGCGATTTTTTTTCATCGATTTCTGACACAGTGCCTAATATGGTATTTTTGTTTATTACTACTTTTGTTGGTTTGTATTAAAAAAAATAAAGATATTATTTCGGAAACAAAATCAAAATTTGAAGTTTATTATTGCAACATCTTATACAGATAAAAGTGTGACAAATGAAGTAGAATTTATTTTATAAAATTCCCTTTCAAATATAGACAGAAAGAAGAATAACAATTTATATTATTTCGATTTTTTTGGAGATATTCAAAATTTAATAATTTTCAAAACATTATTTTATTGGACATTTAATGGTCATTATTATTATTGTCATGGCAATATTCAGCCGCACGATTTGATCTTGTTTGTATCTTTGGTAGTGTCCGAGTTTCCAATGGTTACCCTTGAATTTGAAACACCATGTGTAGAGCATTACTGGACGTTAAGAGCAAAATTTTTATGTTATAATAATGATTATCCAATTAAACTTAAAGATGCATTAATTTAATCGAAAAGTATTGTTTTTTTTTATAAATAAATATAATATATTACTGATAGAAATATAAGAATAAGTACCGTATAATTAATAAAATAGTTATCATAACACATGGAATTATGATAATAAAATTGAATCTTGATATTTTAACCAGCGCGCTGGCAAATAAAGCAATGAAATGGATTTGTCGTCAATGTAGAGAACTTTTTTTAGTTGTTTATTCTCGTGAGTACATATATCTGTTTTTAATAATCGCCAAAATGGCACTCTACTCTCAAATATATTTTATTAATAATAATATTATGGCTGCGCAGCGTTATTATTTAAAACTGTTAAGTAAAACAATAACGGTATTAGATATTAAAAAAAAATATGTAGATTAACAATTAAATGAGATTAAGACACTAAAGGAGATATGTAAAGGAGATATATAAGATTCAGAGACATAAAATAGAAAATCTATTGAAACATATTTTTGCTATTTCTTATTGCGGCAATATACTACGAAGTTGCTCTGCATGTTCAGTTGTATTGTAGCAAACTTGTGTGTTTGGCTTGTAGACCAATGATATAATGCATTATTTATTATTGTTTAAATTTATACTTACATTATAAATTGTAAAAGCTGATATATAACGACGAATAATTTATTTCCAAAGGAAATTACTAATATATGGGTAATATAATTTTCTGTGTATTCACATATTTCACATACTTTGTTGAAATGTTCTCTAACATTTTGCCATTGATATTCTTCTTTAATCTATAAATATAAATAGATTTATTATGTTTTTTTGATTCTTTTCTTTGACCTCTCGATATATATTTTCTATCTAATTTTTTCTTGGCTTTAGGTCAGGTAAAAAAAACGATGATAAAGAGAAAAACGACGTTTTTTACCTGACCTAAAGCCAAGAAAAAATTAGAGATAAAAAATAGTTTTATTAAGTTATATTAATTTAAGTGGAGATAAAACAATTTGTTCTTAATTGGTGTGAGTTTAAAGTCTTCAATTTTTTTTGACTTGTTAAAAATTATAACTTCCAAGTGCCTACAGTGATTTCAATAAAATTCCAAACTAAAAAAAACATGTGCGCCACTGACTTTTCTTCCCTTGTTAGCAAAAGTGTGTTGGCCGTTTAATACCGATTAAAAGTTGTATCTCAATATTTTTGAAAAAAATATAATATAAATTATTTCTTTAATCTAATTTATTATTAAATTTGATTAAAATTTATAACACTGATGTTCAGAGCTACCTATAGCAAATTAAAAAAAATAATCATATTTAAGATAATTACAAAAAACCTATTTTAAAAGTTTTAACATCCTGTAATTTTAAAACTGTTTATTTTTCGCATCCATATTAATGGGAACTTTTTTTCATATTTTTTGATGAAGAATAAATGTGTTCTTAAACACTTCGGCCTATTATAACAAGATTTTAAACCTCGCTATATTTGAATTAAGGCAACTTAGTAAAGTTGCGTTTATCTCATGAACGAGACTAAAATCGACTAAGTCAGAAACGACAAAGAAAAAAAAGTCAGTGGGTCACACGTTTCTTTAGAAAAATATTCCAGTGGTAACCCATATGTAGGTTTCTGATGAATATGTCAACACTTTTTTAGCATTAAAATATGTCGCACTTACAGTAACTTTCCGTATCAAAATTTCATTCAAACTGCTAGACGCACTTGGAAGGAAATTATAATAAATCGAAAAAAAAATAAACTAAATACAAAAATACAAAACATTAACTCCATGTGGCTACGAAACAAAGCAGAATCAGATATATGTTGATGTAAAAATAAATCTTATTTTTCCGTGAGAAATCTCCCACTCAGACTATTTTCTAGATAGTGATAGTTTCACCGGTTGTCAGAGTTAGTTTGTTTTAAATTTACTCTCACATATTGCTTTTTTCTTAATTCTGCGTGACATTCTACAATATATTTGGTTTTTATTATATTATTTAGGTATGAATACTTTAAACTAATTCAAAACAAAAGTAAAGTAAAGATTTCAGTTAACGTCTCATTTTTGCTGCCAGGGCTAATCTGGACAGGGCCTACTTTGTTTACACGGAATCCGAACCGCGGTCCTCGGCCCTATCATGGTCAATGGCCTACCGACTTAGCAAGTGTCTATATCGACTCTTACTCACGAGATATCCGATCTCAGCCGGCCTCGAGCCGGCGTAAATGAGCAGTGTGTGTCAATAGATTTTACACTTTTGCCTTTTTTTGGACAGCAGCACGATACAGAGTTTCGAACCGGTCACCCGTCCATCCACTAGTATCGCCTTACGTAGCTTAACTTCGGTGTTATAATGGTAACCGGTGTTTCGACGTAGCTACGACAAAATAATAGGTTTACCTGATAATGAATCAGCGCTTCCAATTTTCTTTCTATTTGTCGAATATGGAAACTTACAGGAATGCTCATTACTATCAAATATATGTCAGCAAAACTCCAAACCAGTGTAGATAGCCAGTTAATAATCTAAAAACAACAAAAAAATTGCAGAACCATTTACCATAATCAATGAATATTACATAATTTTTAACTTTAAATAAGAGAAAATGATTACCTTATCTAAAGAAATTGTGAAAAATTACGTATTTGAAAAATTGTACATTGTTTATTGAAATATAATACCGTATGATCGAGAAAAAAACGGCTTCAGAAATGACGATGGCTGTGAAATGAAGATTGCTGTCAATTTATGTGTAAATACTCGTATACATGGGAAATGTCATCGATCGTCATTTCCCAGCCAACTGGACTTTTTTTTTGGATCATAGGGTACAACACTATAGTAAGAAGTTCGTATTTAAATAAAGTTTGTATTTAAAACATAAAAATTTATATTTATGATAACTCTTGATATTCTACTGCAATATATTTGTTTGTTTATCTTGTCATGTTATGGGGTAAACTAACACTTACGGTAAGTGTACATACAATTTACTAATTTAGATTCTTTTTATAATGAATGAAGAAATGTCAACTATGGAGGTACGTATTCAGGATCATAAATTAAACATAAAAGTCTATTTAAATATGAGTCCGCAAGGCATGCGTTTTTCTTATTACCGATTCTGAACCATCCTAGAACCCTACAGCGCATGTGCAGTTGAAAAAATTCCCACATATTTCATCCTGGACAAGCGTATCACAGTTCTAAAATGGTTCAGAATCAGTAATAAGAAAACGTAAGGTAATATTGGATTGACAAATTCTAATCTAATATTAGTATAGCTTTGGGTTGTAAGGGGAGCCACTCATATGTCTTTCTAGTCTTTTGAACAACCATATTTTTTAGTTTAGCCATGTATTACATTTTTAAGTAATATTTATATATACAGTTTTTTCTTCCTAATTTACACGCCAACAAGGTGCTAAAAAAGGTGATATGAGCAACCGTTTTCTAGATATTTCGATTATATAATTTACATTGTCATATATTTTATTAAAAAAAATACAAACCTGTTAACTGAAGCCTTAACACTCTAGCTCAAAAGCCAAGACCTTACTGACACATATTTCTGGGACACCCTGTAATGTCCCAGAAATAAGTGAACTGTTTTGAGGAGTGGTAGATGGCGCCAATACCAAACCAAAAGAAACATACTCTCTTTTACCATTTTTAAAATAAATTGATAATAACTGAGTTATTTCACTTTTAAAATTTTAAAAAATAATGCAAAATTTTGAGAACCGCCGACAGATATCTACCCGGATCTCATGTCATTGGACGTTCTGTGTTGGCACATGGTCAAAAAAGTATATGCTTAAAAATAAATAAAAAAATTAGACTACTTGGACTGAAGTTTGGCAGAGATGTATGACATTTTTAAGATGTTGTTATTATTACACAAAATAAGTTAAAAGAAAAAACTTACCCACAATATTAAAAAAGATACTTATGACAAATCGCTGTAACTGTGACAGTTTTCATTTTTGGTACACTTAATTAAAATACACTTTACTTAGCTGCTTTACTTGTACATGATATTATAATAACTGCTAAAATAACAGTCTCTCTTTCCAACAAATTATTTTCATATAGGTTCGTTCTAATTTGCACATGAAAATTTTAAAAGTTATTTTGCAGTATAACAAAGATTTTTGTAAACCTCATAAAAGTAATGTTTTAGTTAATATTCGGTGATTAACTGTTGGAGTTTCATTGAAAGGGTACATACTAAAAATAATTAATGTGTGTGGTTTTTTCTACAATTATTAGTAATGGACACTGATAAAAAAATTAAAATTAATATTCCTTATTTTTTTGTGTAGAAATAAAATTGCCGCGAACTTATAAATATAGAAATTTGTGGAATGTGGATAAGGTAGGAGGTGGCAACACTGCAAGGCTTATATACATCGTATTATAATAATAAATATAAATATATATAAATATATATCTCAGGTAAATAAATCTCAGGTAAATAAACAAGTGGCACTAAAAAGTTTTTTAAAATATCCCGGAAAATGTCAAAAAAAAATTAAAATTTTCAAAAATTTCTCTCGCAAAAACCTTATAGGCATATTTCTGGGGTCAAAATGTACTTGCTAGTTAAAATATTTGCACTTATTTCTAAGACACCTTGTATAGACTTATGTTTATTTTTGGACCCTGAATACGTACTCGAAGTATGACAGTTCTCATATATCACCCTGTATTGTAATTGTTGTAACTAAACTGAACATTTAAGAAGATTATTGAAACCAACATTTTGAGTTTTATTTTCAAAGATCTACATTTTGTACTATTATGTTTTTGGTCTTACCTGCAAAACATATCCAATAAATCTGTGGTAAGGAATAACAAAGAATACATAATTAAAGGTATATTTAAAATATATATCCAAGCTTTCTCCAAACGTCATATTTGGCCTGATTATTCTCTGGGAACACATAAAGAAAATATGTTCACCTGAAATGTTCAAATTTTTACGTAAACGAAACGTTGACATTTAGAAATATGGCAGATTCTAATTATGGCAATTATTGTTATACACACAGCCATAACAGTTAAACAATAGGGTTTGGAATGTTTCAGTATGAAATAGGTTAAATATTTTGTAAATTTTATAAACAAATTGAGATAAATATTTTATTCTTATTATCTAACTTATTAATTTAACTTTCATTCGGAACCTCGCAATTAGTGGTTTCAATTAGCGTAGAAGTTTGTTCCTCCCTAGCGTATAAATTATATTACCATAGAAACGCGTTTTGATTTTTAGGACTTTCTAATTTTCTCTAAAACGGTATGGAAATTTGAAAAAATATAAACGAAATTAACCATTTTCGAACAAGCAAAATTTTTTTATGAAGAATGCATTTTTCTCAAAATGCCCATAATAAAAAAGGTTTTTCCTGTTGTAAAGACAATCCGGTGACATACTGTATAAAGTGTAATTGAAACCACTAATTGCGAGCTTCTGAATGAAGCTTAAGGAAGATTAATTAAGTTTATAATCTGCGTTTGTCTGTGGACATTATTATGGGATAACGAGAAAGAAAGATTTGATGTGAAATTTTATAGGCCTTTATTACATGCGAACAGTCGGTCAATGTTGCTATGTATTATTTAAACAAGACCTATATACCGTATGAGCAAAAAAAAAACGGAGACAAGATGACTCGGAACTGACAGTTGATGACATTTTGGCTATGACATTCTAGATTGTAGTGTTGTTGTAAGAAGAACGTAGATTGTAAGTAAACAATACTAATTAAATACGTCAATTAATCCTCATTATTTATGTCATATACAATTTTTTTTTCTGAAAAAATAAAAAAGGGGAACTAGTACTTTTCAAAAGCACCGGTAGATAAATTTACAGAAAATTACTTTTAATTTTGACGTCGTATATTTCCTATATTTCTGCTGGATGAAAAATGCTGTATGGATATTTATTATAAAAATACAATCCTTATTTACATATAATATTTTAAGTGCCAATTTGAATTGGATTTTTAAATTAGTATAAAATTTCTGTCATACCTACTCCAAAAACCATAAATATTATAGCAACATTCCTCATTTTCTGATGATAGTTTTCTGCTATAGGATAGTTTTGCATATAGACATCTACTTCGGCCCATTGTTTCAAAAAATATTTCCATCTTTTTGCGATATGAATAAAATATGCTTCGTATAGGAACACTGTCAGTATATAAACAAACCCAGCTAAAAATTAACAAACTTTAAATTTGATAAATACAACTAAACCACACTATGTTTTACACGAATATACAAATTTCTCTTTCTGATGCACTATATAGTTGAAAAATAATACTGCTAAAAAACCGGTGGTAAGTGTTAAAATTACTGAAATGGCGGTTCTAGTAGAGAGCCATGAGAAGCGTACGAAGGAGTAATTTTTACTCCTAACGCCTTCAACTGGAAAAATAAGCAAACACTGGCCTAAAAAAGCTAAGAAACCAAACGATTTTTGTGCAGGTATTGCCATTACACGCAAAAATTGATGATACGCAACTAAGAATCAATTGTAACCTTTACTACAACGATGTATTTATTATCAAGTACTTACATGATAAGACGTCAATGTAACAAATTAAAAAATATTCGGCTTTATGGTTGTGTTTGTTGATTTTAGCTTTCGATGAATCAATTAACAAGGAAGGAAATAAAGCACATAATAGTTGATCGATAAGTAATATTTGTTTCGATAAGAAAGTTAATCCAGCGGCTCCCAAACTTTTTTGCGTTAATAGATTCTTTTAAAAAGTGTGTTTATTGCGAAAATATATAATAATGATAGTTGTTTTCTGTCATTTTAATTGACAGGTACATTGTATTTTCTGTCGTTTTCTGGATTTTCTCTAACGAAAGCTTCCTTGATTCATTGGACAGATCTTATTAGCAAATGTGAGCCCACGGCCACACAGAAAGCGTTTTTTGCTTTTTTGCGTGTAAAAAGTGTTTGTTGATTTTAGCTTTCGATGAATCAATTAACAAGGAAGGAAATAGAGCACATAATAGTTGATCGATAAGTAATATTTGTTTCGATAAGAAAGTTAATCCAGCGGCTCCCTAACTTTCTTGCGTTAATAGATTTTTTTAAAAAGTGTGTTTATTGCGAAAATATATAATAGTCATAGTTGTTTTCTGTCATTTTAATTGACAGGTACATTGTATTTTCTGTCGTTTTCTGGATTTTCTCTAACGAAAGCTTCCTTGATTCATTGGACAGATCTTATTAGAAAATGTGAGCCCACGGCCACACAGAAAGCGTTTTTTGCTTTTTTGCGTGTAAAGCGCTTTTGCGATTTTACCGTTTGAAGCTTTCATTTCTATTTGTGTCTGTTACGGTTAAGGTCCGATATTTGGTTAATCTCGACATTACCCGGTTAATCTCAAGAATATCATAAAACAAAACAAAATAACTAAAAACAAAACCAAACCCAAACATTAACCTGTTAATGTCGACATTAACCGGATATCGGACTTTAACCGTAATATGTCCATTAAAAGCACGCAAAAGAAGCGGCAGGTCTCCAGTTTCTATCAAGCTGTCGATTAGTAACGAAAAAGCTCTTGGAATTTCCGGCCCGTTCTACAATCAATCCTTTGAGAAAGAGATAGGCGAGATCGGCGCGGTTCGCGTTGAAAAGACGAAGATGAAAGATATGCTCGGATCGAACGTTGAACGGGGTGGACATCTAGTGCCAGTGGTGTGTGTAAAAATAATTATTATTATTTGCCATTTATTTTAGGAATTTTAGTTTATTTGTGTTTAGATTTTTATGTTGTAGTTTTGTGTTATAATTATAATTATATAATAGACTAGTAAATATTACTAATTGTTAACGCATTTTTAGGACATGATTTATCAAACTATTTGAAGTAAATCTTTTTTACGCGCACTGGGTGTAAAAATTTAAGGCCGTGACATACGAGCTAGCGAGACGGCCCTGACACACGAACTAGTGGTAACGAAAATTGATAATGGCTTAGAAATACGTAGTGACGCGACGTGTATTTGTGAGCAGTCCACGTATTTATCAAAAATATTGATATTTTAATACAAATTTGGTAAAAGTGAACCAAAAAAACTATTTTTTTACGTGTAAAGAACTATTTCTTACACGGAAGAAACTATTTTTACACGTATAAAAATATTTGTTACTCGTAATAAACATTTTTTACGCAAAAAAACTATTTTACGCGTAAAAAACTATTTGTTACACAAAACTATCTGCTACTCGTAAAAAACACTTTTTACGCATAAAAAATATTTTTTAAATTTATTACTTTTTCAAACATGTCCTTCAAATCCTTCAGTTTAAGAGAATCTTCCTAAACAGTAGATGTTCCCTATAAAAATATTTTTATATAATAGCCTAAAATGAAAAAAAAACGTACTGTTTAATTTATTTTTATTTTATTATTAGATATTACGTACGCCTATGACGGGGTCTCATCTTAGAAATCGCTAAAGACGCTACAGAAAACAAACTGATTTGTTTTCATTTGCGTCTTTTGTGAGACACGCCGAATGCTACACGCTTTTGGTCGGGCCACTCCTATATAATCCTGTTTTTTTTTAAAGTCGCAAAAGACGATTCAAGCAAAAAACGCAAAAATCGCTTTCTGTGTGGCCGTGGGCTTGTAGTAAAATTAAGTTGTTATAGCTTACGAACTGGCTAAATTACCGCTGGCGGTATAGACAATTGACAAAAAAAGACCGCCGTTAGACGGTTTTACATATTTATTAACATGAATACTGCCGAAAAACGCGGTAATTTTTTCAAGCACCGGTTTTTTTCCAAAATTGCCAACAAATTGCATACAAAAAAAATTGGTGCAGGGAGGCACGTATAGCCGCCCATACTAAAATATGTTAATATCTCGAAAACTGCGACTTTGACTGATTTTGATGTTATTACAAATTGTGTTGCAAATATTATTCCTAATCTGAAATTGAAAACCGCGTTTCGCTAGCTATTGTAATTTTGGAGTTACGATTTTTTAAAATTTTTAACTCCCTTCCATACCGCCTTACCAACCCCCCACCCCCACCAAAAACTAATGGCCAGATTCTCGGGTGCCACAGTATTTTTGTGTCAAATTTGGTTAAAATCGGTTTAGCGGTTTTTGAGTTATCGTGTTACAGACGGACAGACGGACAGACAGACAGACACCATGAAAATATTTTGTATTTAGGTCATTTATGACCCAAATAACTCATTTTGAGTGAAATTAAAAAAACCTTTTTTTTGCCGATCCTAATAGCCTACCATACCTATTGGTATGGTCGGCTAATAAATATTTTTGACATGTCAGATGCAAAATAGGCAAGCAACGATCACAACTTTTTTATCATAAAAATATACATATTTTTAGCCCACCATACCAACAGGTATGGTAGGCTATTAAGATCGGCAAAAAAAAGTTTTTTCAATTTCACTCAAAATGAGTTATTTGGGTCATAAATGACCTAAATACAAAATATTTTCATGGTGTCTGTCCGTCTCTAACACGATAACTCAAAAACCGCTAAACCGATTTTAACCAAATTTGGCACAAAAATACTGTGGCATCCAAGAATCTGGCCATTAGTTTTTGGTGGGAGGGGGGGTTTGGTAAGGGGGTATGGGAGGAGGTTAAACATTTTAAAAAATCGTAATTACAAAAAAATCAAAATTACAGTAGCTAGCGAAACGCGGTTTTCAATTTAAGATTAGGAATAATATTTGCAACAAAATTTGTAATAACTTCAAAATCAGTCAAAGTCGCAGTTTTTGAGATATTCCGTGTTTCCGTAGTCAGTTTTTGAGAAAATCCGTGTGGGGAACTCTAAACTCCCATCGGACGCGACCCCAGGTGGCGGATAGGGGAAATAATCGCAGACCAAAATTGGAAAAATTCCTTTACTTTGAATCTAAAAGAACTGCCTACCAACTTTTTATTAACATATTTTAGTATGGGCGGCTATACGTGCCTCCCGGCGCCAATTTTTTATATAGGTACATAAATCTGTTTTTTATCACCAAATAAAAAATAAAGGTTATGTTATAGGGATCCCTTTAAATAAGAAGACTAAGAAAGGAGCATAATGCTATCCATGTATTCATGCATGGAGGGCGGAAAAAGGACTTTAGGGTGGGGATCCTTGACAGTTCTGTTTGACCATTCATTTGACACATTTGAATTTGATTTGAAATTTTGTGGATTTGTCGGTCTTTACGGAGCTTATTTTATGTTATTTATTATTTATTCTACTACTGATAGTTGTATAAAGGTAGTAAGTCTAGATGGAAATTGTGGCAGAACTTAAATTAACAGTGACACTATCACGATTCGTCGAAAAAGACTCTAAAATAGTTGGTTGTGTAGCGTGCGGTAGATCTCGGCAAAAATCGAGTGAAATAATGGAACAACTTTTCGCTAGTAAGTATACATATAATATACATACGTGTAGTAAACCGATTATTTATGAAATTCACTTAAATTAACTAATTATATATTTTTTCTTGCATTTTTGCCTTTATTTACTATTTGTCAAAGATTAGATGTTAAAGAATTTAGATACGTCAATTTGACTTACCTGCTTCAGTAGCGTATCGGATGTTTGTGTTAATAAATAATTATTAAAACTTATCTATTTTTATTATAATAATATGTTTTTATAACAATTTTAATAACTACCAACATTTATTCGCAACGTAAAATAAAAAAAAAATATTGAGTCTACCCCACGTCTACCCTACATCATAGTTTTACATTTTTTAAATAAAATTAGAACGGCACTGATAAACTGGAATTTAAATCGGCCATATTTCAGGCCCATCGCGGTGGATCTAAGATTTTTGATATGCTCCTTCCTTAGTCTTCTTGTTCAAAGGGATAACCAAAATACTTCGATGCATCGAAAACATCAATATTCGATATATTCGATGCATCGATGTATTTCATTTGATATATCGAAATATTTAGTTGGCTATAATTTGCATTTCACAGCAAGTATACTACGTGCAAAAAATTACACCTGCATATTTTTGCTAGAAATAAATTTGAAATGGAAACTGCAATCTATCAAATCAAACCAAATCAAAACAATTTCGAATGCAGCAACCGCGAGTTGCACGGCTATTGCGGAACTTTTAATAGTCCCAGTACTTCTTCAAATGTGTCCTTTTTGTTTTGTTTTAACATCATCATCTTTATTAAAAACTAGTGTTTTTAGTTTGGCATGATATTTTGGATTGAAATCCTTACCTAACCTTCTCTATAAATAAATAATATTAGAGAGAAAATTCAATCGCAGTTTACTATAAAGTACTTCAATAGACCACAAAATAACATTCGCAACAATATCGCAAATCGCAACTCCTAAAAATTCAAACTAGCAGATAGAAATCACGGACCCCGTTTACAAAATCACAATAGCAGCAAATTCGCAAATCGCAACAAAGTCGCAAATCGCAGCTATAGTAATACTGGGTGTCTAAATTCAAACTCGTAAATAGAAGAAATCGCAATCGCATGTTTCTATGAGATGCTCATCTCTATATATATATGTATAAGTGCCCATGTTTGTGAAGGGCTATTAATGTACTTTTTAGAAAAAAAACGCAAATTTTTCTTTTGCTTTTTTAAGTCTTTATTTAACTTATTTCTAGATATTTCTGTCTATCAAAATTATTAGCATCAATAATATTGAATACATCTAATCGGCTATGGTAAATATTTTCGTTTCTGCTTAATTATTTAAGTACATCTAATTATGTGCATCTTTTTAGTTCTCACTCTGTATTATTTTTCATTTACTGACATATGCCATTTGGCTCTGTTAATGAACGACCTAGAAAGTTCATTAGTACTTGGAAATTAATAACGAGTTAATATTTGAGACATTTAACGAGGCCTTTGTAAATATCATTAGCTTTTGCCGAAGTAAACATGAGATAACTATTAAATCTATATAAGGATTTATTAAAAACTTTAAGTACCCAAAAATTTACAAATCATTTAAAAAATAATAATTAATCAAATGAGTTTTTAGTTCAACTTTTCAAACATAAATTCACACGATCGAAAATTCACACGATCGAAAAAAACGGTGTCCAAGAGGGCTGAGGAATGACAATCGAGAATCATTTTTACTTGGGCATTTATTTGGCCCGTACTCTTCTTGATTTTTTAATAGCGCTTACTGCCAGTTGGCCTTAATAAGCTTGTAATTTATTTTTATATTGACTAAAAACAATTTTTAAATGGTGTACAGGGTGTACAAATTTTGGTTGAAATCATACGGTATCTCTGTTATTAGTAAAGATAGGAGGATGCGATTTGCATAAACCTGTCCTACTTTTTTAACAAACGTAAGATGCTGTAAACAAAATTTTCATATCCCTTTTCATTTCTGAGCTACAGGGTCTTTTCGAAAATGTTGCAATTTGGAATAGCCTCCGTATCTCCGTTATTATAAAAGATATCGAGAAGTCCTGTAGAACTTTTTACATACAGTGGCGTAGTCTATTTTTCTACAAAAAATATTTTTGAAAATTCGAGTTAAAGTTATGTTTTTTCAAATGAAACACCCTGTATGTTTATAAAACATATGATCCGTCTTGCTCTTAGCTTCCCAAAAATATATATCACTCTGTATTTATTTTCATTATTTACTGCAATCTGCAATACTTAAAAGATGCCATTTTCTTATTAGTAGGCCGTGATAACAAAAAATCAAAATGGTATTTACTAAAATAGTCATACACATTTTAAAATTTTATTTGGGAATTAAATGTTTTACTTTAAAACTGTTACCGCTGAATCTATGAATATATGTTTTTCTCTTCTTTGTTTTAACGGGATCTATTATAACGGGATGGGTTAGTAAATACCTAAAAGCTTGCCTGATAACATTCTCCAGGTCTTCGACATTGTTGTAGTTGCTACGATATATTTCATATTTAAAAAATCCCTAAATACACAAATCAAAAACGGACAAATCCGGGAATCAGGGAGACTATCATATGGGTGCATTGGTACCAATTCATTGATTTTGGAAATAGTCATTTAACAATATTCTAATATTTCCAAAGTTGTGAGGGGAGCTCCATCTTGCTGAAAGTATATTTCACGTAAATTAACTAAAGGAATATCTAAAAGTTCCGGTATGATAGTACTGTACTTTGAAATTCGAGAAAAAATATTTTTTTGAAAATATATTTGTGTCAGGATACGTTTAATCTTTTTTTTAAATATTCTAAAATTAGTTTAAAATTCTTGAGAAGTTTTATGTCAATTTTTAGGAAATGACATCTGGAGATTGACCTCGCCAAAGTTATCATCGATTGTCATTCATTGACGCCGTTTTTTCGATCATACAGTATGTTTATTGTAGATTGGCCCTGAATATACCGCTGAGATGAATACCGGTGTCGAGATCAACACCGGTGTCGCGATAAACACCGATGTCGAGATCATCACCAGTATCGGTGTTGTCACCGGTATACCGTATAGCCCATATTTGGCCACCGGTGTCAGTCCAAGGCCGGTTTTAAACCGGTGTACCGGTGTTTGAAAGAAGCCTACTTTAACTATACAAGGTTTAGCAACTTAGCAAGCTTAAAATCTATGGGCCAAGGAAAGGTACAATTTTGACAGACAAAATCCAAAAACGACAAATACTCAATTTATTTTTGAAATAAAATATCGGAAAAATCGCTATTTATAAATATTGTATTGAACAAATTGACTAGTGGCAGTAATAGTACCGTATGATCGAAAAAAAAACGGCGTCCAGTTGGCTTGGAAATGACGATCGATAACATTTCCCATTTAATTTTACATATAAAATGACAGCGATCTTTATTTCATAGCCATCGTTGACGCCGTTTTTATTCGATCATACGGTATTTTTTGTTACATCGTTTACATAGAGTAAATAGTACTTTTTCAAGTATAATTAAAAAAACAAGCTTTACTACTTGATTTTTTCCATATAAAATAGTAACTTGTTTATCATGTCAAAGTGTCAAAATCAATAAATTTATACAGATAATAATGACCCCTTTAGATATTTTTTAGGACATAATTTCGAATGGTCTTAATGGAAGACACATTTTATGCTATACAAATAAACAGACTCGAAGTAAAAGAAAATAATAATTTATTTTTTATGTAATGGAGTTTTACTAGATTGTCCTAGAAGAATTAAATTTGAGGAAAAATATTTTGATTTTGGTATTGATTATGGTTTCAAGAGAGACATGTCAAAAACATTCTCAACTTTTTGGCGCTTGAAACAATATTCCAGTAATGATTTGTTTCGAATAGCAATATTTTTACATATTTCCCTGAAAATGTTATTTTTGCGTTCCCCATACCTCAAATAAGAAGTACTTTATCATAAATACACAAAATAATCCAGGGTATATCGGAAAATTGTTCATAAACTTGTTTACATGCCATGATTGGCAGGCGGAATGTTTTTCGTGTAAATATTCCCAGCGCATTTAAAATTAACGCTTTTTACGATAGGTGAGTGTTTTGTTGTTCTTTCTACTTAAACTATAAACTTTTCAACTAAATTGATTATTTTAGGTGAAAACGTTCAAAATGAATCTACCGAATTTCTTGTTGAGAAGGACAAAAGTGGAACAAATTCAAAAAGGTTACAAATCGGATGATGAAAGCAGAAATATATTTATTTCGCTCAAGTTTTTTATGGTATTTTCTCAAGTCCTCGGCCTTCTACCTCAGGAGAACATTAGGAGAAATCTGGAGGATATGAGATTTAAATGGCTGAGTTTTAAAATGCTGTACACGATTGCTCTTATTTGTTCTTTGGCAGTAGCTGTTTTTTCTTGTCTAATTTACTGGGCTACCAATGGATGTAGTATTGATGATATTGGTAAGAGATTTTATTATAAATTTAATATTAATAGTGATAGGTTTTGAATTAAAAATTAAAAAAAAAAGATTTTGAGTTTCTTTAATCATATTCATAGTTAATGATTACTCTGAACAACAGGAATAGATTAGATGATTTCTTTTCTGTTTGCCGACTTTAGTATAGTGTATTTTAGTATTATACCGGGTGAGTCTTAAATAAATGGAAATATTTTCAGGATTGGTAGATCTCGGTAAAAGAAACATCTTTTCTCTTTGCTGTTTTTGAAATAAGTCTAAAATAACCGAATTATTTTATTATGAAAATTTAAAAAAATAATTTCTTGGTTAAATTTTGAGAACCACTGGGTCCTTTCTGGGTTTTCTTTCTTGTATATTTAGACGACTACTTATGTTGCCATATTAATAAGAAATTATAATTTTTAACTAAAAACTAAAAAAAAATTCAAAATTTTCAATTTTTTTACCGAAAAAAACCATATAGACGTGTTTCTGGAGTCGAAATATACTGCCCCAAAAAATATTTGCATTTATTTAAGACTCGCCCTGTATACCGGGTGCGTCTCAAAAGTGGCTCAACCCTATAACTTTCTTATTTTTTCAGATAAAAAAACGAGATTTAGTATGTTAGTATATGACATAAATTGGGATTGACTGACGTAGTCAACTGTTCTCGGTCACTTAAATGACAACAACAATTTTTGATTTTTAAATGGCACCATCGGTATTTTTTTACTTTATTCGATAGAAAATTACACTCTGAATCGAATGACATATCATATGTCAACTTTTGACATAGTCACTCAAAAACAAATTGTATTTTAAATTTCAATCTAGAGTGCCGCGGCTGTATTAAAAACACTAATTTTTAATCAAGGAGCCTTGGAAAAATACATTTGATCGTCTAATGTTTTTAGTGTCTTGTCCTGGCCGGTTAAAAAATGCTCAAATCGTATTTTTAATCATATCTCAATTTTTTCAAATAGAACAAGGGTGGCTCTTTAGCATATTTAGAAAAAGCATTCTTTTACGAATAATTTGATACCACACACTTGATATTTCGAGTGAAATTGTCGTTATTAACAGCATGTTACAATTTCAAATAAACCATATGCGAAAATGTCAAAAGTTGACGTGTGATACGTCATTCGATTCAGAGTGTCATTTTCTATGGAATAAAGTAAAAAAATACCGACGGCGCCATTTAAAAATCAAAAGTTGTAGTAATTTCCGGTGAAACCGGAAGTGACCGAAAACAAATGAAAACGTCAATAAATTCCAATTTATGTCATATACTAACATATCAAATCTCGTTTATTTATCTAAAAAAAAAAATAAAAAAGCCACTTTTGAGACGCACCCGGAATTTGTCAAAATTTTGTACATAAATAAATAAATAAGTAAATAAATAAATAAATGCCTTTATTGTCAAAAAAATTTACAATTTGTAGACAAAGGTAAAATAAACAAACAAAATAAACAAACAAGGTACACAAACAAACAAACAAAAGATAATACAAAACATTATACAAATAATATTGTCAGTCTTATTGTTTAAAATAAACATTTATATAAATGTTTACAATGTCAAAGAATAAAAAAAGTAAAAATAAAAATACCTGAAATTTAGTATATAATTTTAGGTAATTTACTTCTGTCCAACTTTAGAAATAGAAACATACAATATGAGCCTAAAAATTTGCAACATTTGGTATTTTTTTATTATTAATATAATATGTAAGAGTATCAATTTTGACATATGTTTTGTGACAACAGTCATGGAGGAAATATACAAAAAAACTCTTTTAGCATGTAAAAAGTGAAGTTAGATGATGAGTTATAGTCGCAAATATTTCCATACTTGGAGATTGTTAAAGATTTTATTACTGCTAGATATGAATACGACCTCTTTAAATTTGCGTTTTTTCCAACGGGTTTCTTTGTGGACAACCCGGACTTCCGACCATTTTCTGTTGTGCATGGTGTATGGACTACACATGATCTGCAATGCTCGATTTCGTTTTTTCACCTCTTTACGTATATTTTTATAATAATAATTTTTCTTATTCTAATTATTACTTTTTATTTTGTTGGACTTCCCTTACTTAAGAAAACCTTATATGACCAAACACTGATGTGCAGTTAACAAATAAAAATTTGTTAACTGCAGACATGTGTTTCTCTTATTATAATTATACATTGTATAAGTTCGGTGCATTCAAATAATCACATCACAAAAAAAAAGTAAAAGCACGGAATCAGTGATAATTCTGAGCTAAATTTACTAAATGAAAGCTATTTTAAATAATAAACGAATGTGGATATTGCACTCTTACCAGAAATATAGGATCATCATTTGGATAATCATCCAAACACGCATTATTAAAAGTGCTTGTTTGTTGAAATCTTAGTTGTTGTTTATACCACCTAATCTCCAAATTGTTTTTCCTAATTTTGATGGAACTTAATTGTCAGATAGGAGAGTTCTCAGTAAATAAGCTTTAAGCCGTTCGTGGCGCAAATGAATTATTATGTTTATGTTTACTTGTAAGTAATATAGATAAATTAACAATAGAGGTAAACAAACAAGTAATGTTTTTGAGAGAGTACTCAAGTACTCTATCTCTCTATTTATTATATTATCTCTCATTTTTTCATACCCATAAATTTTCATATCATCTTAAAATCAATAGATTATCAACGGTACAAATAGACTATTAAAATAGCCCATTTTTTATAGATCATTTACGTCTTCATCTTTGAAATTTGAAAATTGAAAAATTAACAACAGAATATAAATAATATTTTTATGTAATTTATTCTGTCAAAAATTTATGATACTACTTTTATAATTTATGTTAAGATGAAATACTAAAATAAACTAAATATTATTTAATGTATTTTAGCCATTGCTGTTTCATATGGCGGCTCGCTGGCCAGCATGATTTTGTATCTTCAGTTAGCCAAATCTTGGGAGAAACTGATGAGATCTTGGCATTCTATAGACCTCACTATGAATACCAATTACGGTTATCCCGAAATGTTGGATAGAAAAATTAAACTCTTCATGGCCATGTTTATTTTTTTAGGAATACGTAAGTACTGTCCTATTATATCCTAAACATATATAAAATTAATCAAATTAAGAATGAATTTAGTTATTACGTTAGTTATTACGAATCAGTACTTTCAGTAGAAATTGAAAGATAATGTTGAAACGAAATCATGTTACGTTGGAACTTAAAAAGCGAGGTCATTTGTAAGAACTATCTGTAACAAGTCCTCCAACTAATATGTTGGAGGATTTTGAGTCTTTTTTATACTTCTTTTTAAATCAAAACTATCAGACTTAACAAGCACAGCTTTGGCCACAGCTGTCCTTATATCCTCTTCGGTGGTAACCTCATCAAGGCCTTTAATATGTAAGACCTTTTTATTTGATAGTCTAGTTATATTAACTTCAGGTACTTTAGCCTTAATTTTATTCTTCAGAACTTCAGAACATTTTAAATAGTGATCAAAACTTCTTCCTTTCAGGTTTTGTTGATGTTTTTAACTTCTACCCCAATTTAGGATGGATTTACAGAGCCTTTAATTAGTTTTAAGAGATCAGCATATGATCTGCCACCAATTTGTACCAAAACAGCTTTTTGTCGAGTTAGATTAGGTCGTCTCTTCGCCTCCGGTCGAACAGCTGATGTACTTTTTATAGGGGCTTTAGTACTTTGTGGTTTATTATTAACTATCCTATCCAACTTGTAAGTTGTAATTTGGACAGGCGCATGTCTGAAAATAAGAATTCTATCATTCTGGTAATCATGCTTCCTTCTATACCCGCAAGTTCTGCAACTGATAGTTCGGTCTTTTCGTTTGTTGTCGTGTGATCTTTGATTGACTTTAAGGCTTCAAAAATTGTTTTATCGTCGGTTGCAATTGCATCAATTGTATAAATGCGGCCAGTCTAGCACCCTGTATGTAGCGCTTGCTAACTAAATAAATAACTCAATTCACAGTTAATAAACCATTTTACTCCACATTATAGATATTTTATAGCGTTATCATTTATTGCTCCATAAATCTGAGATACACAACAAATGAAAAAATGCTTAATACACTTCTGGCATATTGTTAAATAATAAAAAACAGTAATATAAAATCTGCTATATTTTGTCCTCTTTCGAAGCAAAACTGCAAAGCTGCTAATCCAATCAAACTCTAAGCTAGTTATTAATATACCTATACTAAACCTATAATCGCAGTTGTCATGTAATATTTACAGGGTGGTCTAAATTGTATTCGGAAAACTTCGGCAGCATATTGTAAAGATAATATGTAATAATAATAATTTATATCCTAAAATGTTTCGTTTCATTTTGGCATCATTCTACATCCTACACAAAATTGGTGTATGGGTCTTTTTTGATATGATAAATTGGACTTGTATGACTGATACTTGTAGGGGGCGCCATCTAATAGGGGTGCCGTAATAATACTATTTTTTAACTGGTTTGAAAAGCAATAATTTTTCTTCCATGCCTATATAAAGCTACTGAGGAAAAATATACATTTCCACGGTATTTTACGTAAAAAAGATCATAATATGATCATTGCCAAAAATTAAACATGTCGACTAGATAGTTATCAGGCTAAAATAATAAATTTGAAATATTTTTGTGTCAAAGGTTCAGAAACATCATAATTTTTTCTAGAAAAAAATATTATTAATTAAAGAAATTCTCTTTCAACATTAAATATATGTTTTTTTTGGATTCAAATAAAAAATATAAAATATTTTTATTATTTTTCAATTTTTTTTTTTTAGTTGACTATATGTTATGTGCTGGTAATTTGTATGAGCATTTGACAAATCAGTATGGAAAAAATTTGACAACCCAGGTATATTACAACACTTCATTTCCTCAACTGTTTGCATACGTTCCTTATACTTATTTCACAGCAATCTTTTGTTCCGTAAGTAGAACTAAATCTGTTTTATTTTTGATGTATTTTTTGTCAGATATATTTTCAACTATTGAATTATTTTCAGATAATCACCGTACACTCCAACTTAACATGGGCATTTAATGATTTATTTATTATAATTCTGAGTACCGCATTAGCTTTAAGATTTCAACAGATATCTCAACGCTTGAATAAGGAGAGATTTAAGGTATACAAAAGTTCACAAATCTACCGTAACACAAATAATGATTAAACCTAGAGTTTTAATGACCTGTATCAATGCGTCTGTTTTAATCATGCTGTTGAATTATAGTAGATTTATGATAATATCTGTTGTAAAGTCTAATGTAAAGTGCCAAATTAAATTGTAGATCACATCGATTCCTATGAACCAAAGAATATACCAAGAAAAAGAACGGGAACTGCCTTACTGAAAAAATTTTTGAATAATTTTATTTTATATGTTATTACAATCTATAAGGATTATATCTTTTTTGACTGGATTGCTTCCCATCATATAAAGGTTTCCTTGTTGACCCGTCCTTTGGCTGAACTCGTTGACTCTGGTTGATCTTTTAGATCTTCTCAGGTTCCTTCTCAGTAAATTTGTTTTTGTAAACTTAATCTTATACCTATGTTGTCATATTAACAAGAAATTATGTTTTTTAACTAAAAACTAAAAAAATTCCCGAAGTTTTCAATTGTTTTTTCGCGGAAAAAACCTCATAGGCGTGTTTCCTGGATTGAACTATACTACCATAAAATACTTGTACTTATTTCTGGGACACCCTGTATATTACAGTCAGTATGTCCCCGGATTGTCTTTACAAGAGGAAAAACTTTTTAATTATTGACTTTTTGAAAAAAATACGTTCTTCATAAGAATTTTTGCTTGTTGTAAAATGGCGTTTATAATTTTCTAAATATCCATACCACTTTAGAAAAATAAAAAAAAAACATAAAAATGTAGTTTTTAAATGTAATTTTTCCCCACTTCTTAAAAACTTCTAGGAAGATCTTTTAGATCTTCCTGTTGAAGTGTAAGAAACAAATACATTTGTAAGATGTAAGAAACAAATACATTTGTTTTTACAAATGTATTTTTTTCACTTATTGAATCCATTTGTTTTAATTACTGAAAAAATAATATTAAGAATATTTAACCTTTAATTTTATTTCGAATGTAAAATATTCTTTTTCAATAATTTTATTTTATATGTTATAACAATCTATAAGGATTATATCTTTTTTGACAGGATTTCTTCCCATCATATAAAGGTTTCCTTGTTGACCCGTCCTTTGACTGAACTCGTTGACTCGTCCTTGATTCATTCTAATTCGTTCTAAGTCAATCCCTGATTCGTTCTAAGTCAGAGGCGCCTTCTATTGTAGGGTTTGGAATTAAATTAATTAATTACGTAATTTTACTCTAAACTATCACTTTAAATACGAAAACACTCCTAAAACTTATTTTTTACTCAATATTAACAAGTCTAATTCGAAACATTATTATGTGTTGTGTAAAAAATATTTTTTAGCAGTCAAATTTATACATAGGAATAAATAAAAGTAAAACGTCATTTATTATAATAAAACAAGACCAGCGTAATGCGCCCAAAGTTTTGAAATTGAATTAAATATACCGGGTGCGTCTCAAAAGTTGCTCATCTCTATAACTTTTTTTATTTTTTCAGATAAAAAAAGTTTTGGTATGTTAGTATATGACATAAATTGGGATTGATTGACGTATTCAATTTTTTTGGTCATTTCCTGTTTCACCGGAAATGACTACAACTTTTGATTTTTAAATGGCACCCTTGGTATTTTTTACTTTATTCGGTAAACAATGACATTCTGAATAGAATGACGCCATATGTCAACTTTTGACATTCTCACTAGAGTGCTATGGCTATGTAAAAAACACTAATTTTTAGTGAAGGAGCCTTGGAAAAATAAATTTGATCGTCTAATGTTTTTACTGTCTTGTTCTGGCCAGTTAGAAAATGCTCAAATCGTATTTTTAATCATATCTCAATTTTTTCAAATGGAACGAGGGTGTCTTGTTAGCACATTTGAAAAAAGCATTTTTTTACGAATAATTTGATATCAGACACTTGGTATTTCGAGTCAAATTTTCGTTACGAATCGCAAGTTTAATTCAAAGTTAATTTCAAATGAATGATATGCGAAAATGTCAAAAGTTGACATATGATATGTCATTCTATTCAGAGTGTTATCTTCTATCGAATAAAGTAAAAAAATACTGAAGGTGCCATTTACAAATCAAAAGTTGTAGTAACCGTTGAAACAGGAAGTGACCAAAAACAATTGAATCAATCAATCCTAATTTATGTCATATACCTACTAATATACCAAATCTCGTTTTTTAACAAAAAAAAAAAAAGTTATAGGTGCAGGTAAAGGTAAAGCACCCGGTATACCGGATGCGTCTCAAAAGTGGCTCACCCCTTTAACATTTTTATGTTTTCAGATAAAAAAACGAGATTTGGTATGTTAGTATATGACATAAATTAGGATTGATTGACGTATTCAGTTGTTTTTGGCCACTTCCTTTTTCACCGGAAATAACTAGAACGTTGGATTTTTAAACAACACCCTCGGTATTTTTTTACTTTATACGATTGAAAATGACACACTTAATAGAATGACCCCTGTATATTTATATATCATATGATCCGCCTTGATATAAACTTCTGAAAAATACATATCACTCTATATTTATTTTCATTATTTACTGCAATATTTAAAATATATCATTTTGTTATTAGTAGGCCGTGATAAATAACAAAAAAATCAAAATGGTATTTACTAAAATAGTCATACACATATTAAATTTTTTTTTGGGATTGATATATTTTACTTTTGCATTGTTACCAGTGAACCTCTGAATATATTTTTCTTTTTTTTTATAACGGAAATTATTATAAGGGGATGGGTCTGCAAATATCTAAAAGCTTGCATTATTTTGGTATACTAGGTATGCTATGGTAAACAATTTCCAGGAGTTCAACATTGTTGTAGTTGCCACGATATATTTCATATTTCAAAAATCCTCAAAATCAGAAATCGAGAACGGAAAAATCTGGGAATCAGGGAGGCCATCATATGGGGCCATTGGTTCCAATTCATTGATTTGAGAAATAATAATTTAACAAAATTCTAACACTTTCAAAGTTGTGAGGAGAGCCCCATCTTACTGAAAGTATATTTCACGTAAATTAGCTAAAGGAATATCCAAAAAGTTCCGGTGCAGTAGCTTCCAAGATTTACAAATAGCGGTTAGAGAGTTAAATTTCCCTATATATAAAAATGTATTAGTGGCTCCCAAAATAAAACAAGAGGCATATGGCAGTATACTTTTAATAGTTCTTTATTTTCTTTTATTATCAATCATGGCCTACTAATAAATATGATCCTTTTAATAAAAACTTTTAAATATTGCAGTAAATAGTGAAAATAAATATAGAGTGATATATATTTTTGAGAAGCTTATGGTAACCAAACCAAGCCAGAGCATGTAAGAATAACATTTTTTGCTAAATTTCGCCACCCTTGTTGCATGATGTGTAATATATGTAATGTTACACATCTTTTTTTTTCAATAAAGACGATTATTGTTATTATTATTATTATATAATTTATAAATATGCAGGGTGTTCCATTTAAGAAAACATAACTTTAGTTCATATCTTTAAAAATGTTGTTTTCGTAGAAGAACAAACTGCCACTGTATTTTACGTAAAAAGTTCTACATTTAACAGTTTTCACCTTCTCGATACCTTTAACAATAACAGAGATACAAGGGGTGTTCTAAATTGCAAAATTTTCAAAAAGACCCTGTAGCTCTGAAACGAAGAGGGCTATGAAAATTTTGTTTACGGTATCTTCCATTTGACAAAAACTGGGACGGGTTTGTGCAAACCGCACTCTTCTATCTTTACTAATAACGGAGATACAGTATGATTTCAACTAAAATGGGATACCCTGTACAGGATACAGCGTCAGAGCGACTAGGTTTACAGCTAGTTTAGTAGCATATAAAAAACGAATTTAAATTTGCATTTATTTGATTAAAATTTATTTTTTTTAGATTAACCCGCTATCATTTTGGCGCAGCATACGGGAAGATTACGACAGGTTGGCAAGTTTTTGCAAAGAACTGGACAGTCATATTTCTTCTATAGTACTGCTGTCATACTTTCTCAATATCTTCTTTTTATTAATTCAACTGTATCACAGCCTGGAGTATGCCCATATGTTATTATAATCTATTTTCTTACTAATTGGTATTTTTTGCAGACCTATATCATTAATAGTCAGAAAAATATATTGTATTTTTTCTTTTGGCTATTTGATTTTGAAAACAAGTTCTGTCTCATTGTACGCTGCATGGATTAACGATGAAAGCAAAGCACCAACAAACGTACTGAACTCAGTAGACTCATCACTGTACAACGTTGAGGTATAATTAATTTGTTTTTGAGTAACCATAAAAAATAGACTACAAAAAATAATATACTGTGCGGTGTCTCTCACATGACGCGGAGCCTCCAAAGAAATTGAGAGTTTGTATTGAAATGATAGTTTGGAAACATATGTATGTTAATTTAGAGCATTTCTCTTCATTTATTTAATTTTACGCAAGATAGTTGAGTTTTTTGTGGGACGTCCTACACAGGGTGTTTTAAAAAACATGTGCCATCTCTCGTGAGGAGATTCCTCAAGTAAAAATAAAATTTATTTTTCTTATCAACATAGGTCCGAATCTGCTTTGTTTCGCAGCTACAGGGTATTACATTTTTAATACTTTTTCGATTTATTACAATTTTCTTCGAACTACTTTTTCCGTTTCGATTGAAATTTTGTGGGTAAAAGTTACTATAAATACGACATATTTTAATACTAAAAAAGTGTCGACATATTCACCAGTGACGTACATATGGGTAATCACTGGAATATTTTTCTAAAAAAAGTATGTACGACACTGATTTTTTCTCTTGTTAGCGAAATAATATAAGCAGTTTAATACCGATTAAAAGTTGTCTTTTGATATTTTGTCTCTATTGATTTTATCCTCCTTGATAAGATAAACACAACTTTATTAATTTGGCTTGATCCCAGTTTAATAGCAACCTTTAAAAAAATTTAATATCATTAACTTGCGAAACTTTTAAAAGTACTTATGGATTCCTCATCAAAAAATATGAAAAAAAGTTCCTATGAACATGGGTATGGAAAACTAACAGGATGTTAAAACTTTTTAAAATTATTTTTTTTGTAATTATCTTAAATACCATTATTTTTTTATTTTAAATCACTGTAGGTTGGACTAATAGTAATAATAACTAATAGTGATAATATTTAATAATAAATTAGGTAAAATATATAATTTAATAATTTTATTTTTATTTTAATTTTATTAATTTTGATTAATAAAATTTGCATTTATCTCATCAAGAAGGCCGAATTTGACAAACTAACCAGGATTCATTTCAATACAAACTGTGGTTTTCCTTAAAGCCTTTGCTGTCTTATGAGAGGCGCCACCCTGTATAATTTGTTTTATTTGCGATACAAGACATAAGAGTGCACAATATAGGGTGAACCAAAAAAATTTTTTTTTCTTTTTAGTTACCGTGAAAATATCGTTCAGGATGATGAAATATGAATTTTTATTTACTCCACTCATTTGAAAGTTATTGAAGGTTAAAGTTGAACTTCAAATCGTATATGATAACTTCCACAATTTTTTAATATTTTATCACGAAATATTGGCTCATAAACATAAACTATCATATTTTATTACGAAATATTTGCTCAATATTTTATGTTTTTGAGCCATTATTTCGTGTTAAAATATAAAAATTTGTGGAAGGTATCATATACGGTTTGAAGTTGAATTTTAACCTTCAGTAACTTTCAAATAAGTCGATTAAATGAAAATTCATGTCAGACGTTTTTTGAAGACGTAATAAAATTCCAAAAAAAATTGTTTCCCCGTGAATTTTTTTTCATCATCCTGAGCGATATTTTCTAAAAAGCTTTTAACTAAAAAGAAAAAAAATATTTTTTTTTGGTGCATCCTACTGTACAACTGTGTTCTTAGTTCTAAACTTGTACAAATGTACAACAAAAAATCAAAAAGAAGTTATCAAATGTGGTTTTGATGGCTGCATTAAGGCTATGGCTGTCAGAGCATAGCCTTAAGACTAGGGTGTATTCCGTTGCTTACCTTGGTTATGGTTTTATGTTCCGTTTCTATCGGTTTCCTGAAAGTTTTCTTATTACGGAACACGGTTCCTGAAAAATTCGGTTATAACTGTCACCAAACTAACCAGCGCGAGAAGGCTGGTTTTTCTGGTTTTGTTTGTCAATCAATGTCATTTATGAGAAGGAAATCAAGCAAATATTGGAAGTTCGAGTGAAATTCTCATTTTATCTCTAAAATTTGTAATAATGTTTTGTATTTACATCCAAAAGCAATGGAGGTAGGCAGTAAAGGTAAATAAATTTAATTAACTAAATAGAATGACTTTTAGGACCATTTAAACTTATCATGCAGCCATTGTTTCTTAAAGTCAGGAACATTTAAAGAAAACATGAAAAACAAGACAACAAATAATCGTGAATGTTTTGTAAGCTATAAAATATAAATATTGATTAGATTTGTTTATTTATTATTGATCTGTTTTAATAGTCGATCTGCAAATCTTCACTTGGGCTGTCTAACGAGTTTAACAGTTTATTAATAAAGTACACATTAAAAATGTATAAAAGATAAATTTTATAGTAGAGGTATTGAAATTTAGAAAACGTCAACATTTGACATTTCCAGTATTTTACCAAACCGTTCCGTATCCAACCGATGTTTTTCAGGAACCGCTCTTTGCCGTAGTTTACCGGTCTGGTTCGCCTGGTTTTGCCACGGAATACAGCCTAAGTGATATTTTTTTACTGTTATTCTATTCATTTATTTCAATTTTTGTTAACATTCAATTTGTATGCACATTACATCAAAGATTATGTAATCAGTAACTTCTATGGTCATTTAGGCCTTGGAAAATTGCAGATAAGTAATAATACAAAAGTCTAATATTTTATTTGTTTCAGATTCGACGACTATTGGTCCAGATCAGCTTTGACAAAACTGCTTTAACAGGTTGTAAAATGTTTTCAGTCAAAAGAGGCATAATACTAAGCGTTAGTTTACTACTAATAATTATTTTGGTCATTTAACTATTTTATGCTCTTTTAGGTAGCCAGTGCTATAGTAACGTACGAACTGGTACTAATCCAATTCAGTGAAGCTAATTTATATGAAAATACTCCGTAACATGGTGAAATAGCATGTTATATACGAAACAAGATGCAATAGATGTATTAATGTACTTAATGATTTTAATTTCTACTTTAATAAAATTTATTTAACAAATGTTGTTTTAGTTATATTAAAAAGTTGTATTTTTTAAAAAAAATATATTATTCCTTTAATTTCTTGATTATTTACTTACAATCTCAATTTTTATTCAGTGAAAGAATAAATTATCATTTCAATATTTCAAACATACATTTATTCATAATTTTATTGTATACGATTCACATTTATTACCAATCATAAATATACTAAATAAACCATCCCGAAAAGTACTTTTACATACTAAAACATGGATATAATTTTGTTTTTGTTGGTAAAGCATATGATACTATTATACCGTACTATTATTAAAACACTGCATGCTAAAAAACACCCTCAAGTTGGCTTGGAAATGATGACCAATGACATTTTACATATAATTTTAAATATGAAATAGGAGCGATTTTCGATTTTGCTAAGCCAACTCTGATGTCGATTTTTTTCAAAGGTTTGATAATACATATACTAAATCTAAAAATATAACACAAAACATTTAAAATTAATAAGGCTTTGAAAAAATAACACAAATTATAAAAAGAAAAATTAATAGTATTCAGTTCTTATGGCACAATATTGTAATGCAAAAATAAATAACAAAATTAAAAAATATCTTGTCCGTTATCTCTAATTTCTTCACATTTGTTACCCATCGTTAAACTAACATTATTTTTTGTCATATCCAGATAAAAAAGAAATGTTGATATTTTTTCGTATCAAGCATTGTTTAGTGCTGTATTTAACTATTTATTCAATCTAGATAAAAATTATTTGGTTTATTTATGTCAGTTGATGAGGACTAATGTGACATAGCCCATAGAAATGGTAGCGCCACTCTCTAGTAAGCACAAGGTAGCTGGTTCAAATCCAGCTCTGAACATGGGTGTTTGATGTATGTTTCTCAATTTTCTATTATATTATCTTTACTAAAATACAAAATATACTAAGATAAACATTAGATTCTCCTTTTAATATCCTAAATGAAGCCATCTAAGACGAATATTTGTAGCAATTTTCAATCACATGGCAAAGTGATTGTGTGTTTGAGAATTGACTTTTTTGAGAATAACTTTTGTACTATACTTTAAAACTATGTGTGTCAATGACCAAAGAATACAAGGACACGTAACGCCCACATACTTCCTGCAACAGAATTTGAGATGTTAGACGCCAATTTTTAGATGTAGCGAATGAGTCATCAGCTGGTCATCAGCGACAATTTTAGCGATATTTAATAGTGTACTCTGTATAAACTTTATTGCAATGGTGGCTGTTCACCTTTTTTACCGTTTTCTTATTGAATTTGATAATTATTTTTCTAATATGATATGTACTTGATATGTGCTATACGTCGATTGTATCTAGTTTTGTACCTTTTGTTAACATTTTAATACGTTTTTTTCGTAATTGATTAGCATTATACCACCGCATATACCATACGCGTAGTCAAAACATTTATCAAAAATATAATTATCTCTTCAGGCATCTATGTTAAGAAAAATATGTCCCAAGGGCCACGGCACTGTTTGGAGATATGGTAACAATTTGGTCTCGGGTATTATTAGTCCTTGTATTCTTTAGTCATATGTGTAATGCTAGATTGATATGCCGAATTCGCCCATTGAGCGAAATAAATACATCCACAAAGTTGCACGAAAGAGTTTTGATTGCATTGGTTTCAACTTCTATGCGGAGGAGGTTAATCTTCTGTTGTTATATTATATCAAAAAAAATCCATCCGCAAAGAAGTTATATAAAGACTATTTATAACTACGAAGTTGCACGAAAGAGTTTTGAATGCATAAATAATAGCATTTAATCATATCGCGAAATGAGTATTTATTTCGCTCAATGGGCGAATTCGGCATATGAGTCTAACGTATATAATTTAATCTTAAATATTACCTAAACATGTTTTCAGGACGCACATATCTAATCTAATTATAAAATTTAAACTAAAAAAAGCTCAAAAACAAATTTTAACAATAAAACACAAAAGATATGATACACTAAAACAAAATTAACTTTGATAAGATAGTGATATTTACCATTTGTAAAAGTTACATACCCATATAAATACTTCGCTAGATATTGTAAAGTACCGTCTAAACGAAAAAAAAACGGTGTCGAAGACTACCGTGGAATGACAATCGATGATAATTTTGGCGAGGTCATTCTTTCGACATCTATTGCTAAAAATTGACATAAAACTTTATTTTTTTACGTTTAGGACTTGATCTAGCAAAAATTGTCACCAATTGTCATTCCCCAACTGTCTTTGATGCCGTTTTTTTGATACTATGGTAGTTATAAAAAATCTCTAAAATCACTCTAAAAATTTAAATAAGGCGTCCATCTCAAAGAGACCTGGTTTAAATTAAAAAGAAGAATAAAAAAGACTTAAAGTCTGGGTTTCAACGTTTATATTAAGTTAAACAGTGACTAATAGTAACTTAACTAATATAAACGTTGAGACCGAGATTTTGAGTGTTTTTTATACTTCTCACTATAAAAAGTTGTATAATAAGTAAGTATGTCCGATGCTTGGCTTGTGATTTACTTTCAAGTCTTTCTTGCTGCAAAGGATTATAACGGATTTATCATGGATTTTCTCTTTTATAAATCTACAGTTTTTATTTGCAGATCTGTTGACAGTTGATCCAAGTTCTTCGGTTTAAATTAATATTTTTTTAATTTATAGGTCTTTATATTGGGCTAAAACTAGTTCATACATAATTAAAGTTGTAGCAATCTGAAAAAAAAACACAATTAACGTATAAAATCATTGCATTAATAGAATAATTTTGTGACATCAAAAAATATTATTTTTGCTTTTTTCTGTTCTATTTAACAATAACAGTAAGAGTATCAATTTTCAAGTACTTCCGTTTCCATGCTTTTTACAAATTATAATTTTCTTGAAACCATTAACGAGAGATTTTATAAAACTAAAATTAATCATGTGATACATTTTTGCAAGAGCTGTAATATTGAATAAGTTCTTAAATAAGTGTAAATATTTTCAGGGTTGGTAAATCTCGATAAAAGAAACATATTTTCTCTTTACCGTTTTTCAAATAAGCTCCAAAAAAACAAGTTATTTTACTTGAAATATTTAAAAAAAATATTTTTTTGCTTAAATTTTGGGAACCACTGGATCTTTTCTGGATTTTATTTCTTGTAAATTTAATCTACTATCTATGTTACCATATTATCAAGAAATTATGTTTTTTAAACAAACAATTTTAAAAAAATTGTAAAAATTACAAATTTTCAAAATTTTTTTTTGCAAAAAGAACTTTATAGACGTGTTTCTGGAGCCAAAATATACTACCCCTTAATACATTTGCACATATTTATTTAAGACTCACCCTGTATAGTAATAATATGTATGAATTAATAAAACATGAAATTATGTACTCCAATAGACATGAAAGTAAAATGTAAAAATGCTGAATGGCTAGTGCTGTTCCAACAATTTGTGTCCCTTTATAGTCAAGAAATGTCAATATTTGATAAATATTAAACTACCTACTGTAGTAGGTGGAAAGATCTATTAGCGCTTATCTACTTAAATAAATATATTATTTTTATCTCGGAAAATCACTTTTTTTTCGCTGCTTTATTTACAGGTTACAATATACTGAGTATTTACATGTAGTCTAAATTATATCTATATACATATACGCTTAATTAAAATTTCATCAATCCACATAAAAAGATATTTTTCTAATTATCGTTGAGAGAACCTACCTGTAAAACCATTGACTTAGTTACTTTAAACATTCCCATTCCAATAATCACAGGTGGATGATGTTGGACAAATGTTATAAACCGTTCTACCTGAAAATTTTATTAAATATTACAAGTTTGATACAGTCAGCCAGGAAAGTATAATCCCCCGTCCTTGAAAGAAAATACTAAAACAACCTTTTCTAAAAGTCATTAAGCAAATTGCCATCGTGTAACAATATATTATGCAGAATATATTTTTAAATAAAATTGATAAATTTATTTATGCTTTATAGCACGAAATAAACTACTTTAATAACATATGATCAAGGTCAATCTATAGACGTCATTTGCTAAAAATTGACATAAAACTTGTAAAAATTAACACTGATTATAGAAAGTTTAAAAAAGGATTGAAGATTTCCAGATACACAAATCTACTTCCAAAAAAATATAAATTTTCTCGAATTATAAACTACCTACACCATTTGCAAATTATTTCTACTCAATATAAAAATAAATTATAACCATCCGAAGGCCAATTGGCAGTACGCGCTATAAAAAAATTACGGGCCAAGTAATGGCGTCTAGAGCTTGACCTCATATTTAAAAATTATTGTTGATTGTCATTCCCCAGCCTCTTTAGTGCCGTTTTTTTCGATCATATGACATTTTAGTAGTATTTTTGTAATTTTCTCTAATTCGTATTAACAGTTCATAGGTTTTTGCAATTTTGAACTTAAGTTATCTAAAACAGGTTTAAACTGATTTTGCTCTTTTTGATGGCTGTTTTTTCTTTGACTCTATTTTTTTGTAATAAAAGTAAACTTAATTTAAATTGCACTAGTTTACTAGTTAAATTGCTAACTTCTATAAAATTTATATTTGGAAATGAATAAAGGATAAATAACAATCATTTTAAAATATTAAAACCAATATATGCGTAGAGTTTTCTACGAAGTTCTCTATGGGTATCTCGGAAACAAAAAAAGGAGCTATAGAGTCGGTTAAATGGGGAAAAAATTGCAGCTTTGTGAGGTCATAAATATACGCCATTCGAAGTTTTGAGGAAGTTTATGGCTTACGAGATATTTGGAGAATAACAAATTTCGGCTATTTTAAAAAAGCTCCCTAAAAATCCTATTAAAATCTATTTTAGACAAAAAGTTTTTAGATAAAAGTTGTAGATTACATTCTTAATGAGATTGTGTTCTGATTTTTTTGTAAAGCCTGTCATTTTTGACATATGACACACACATATGTTTTTGAGTGAAACTTATTTACCCGCGATGTGAGTAAAAATTCAAGGGCGAGACACGTGAGAAAAAAGTGGTAACGATCGTGAGGTTAGGACGCAGCGTCGTAACTTGGGCCTTATATGAGCTAGGGGCTGAAACTCGGGTTGTAGATGGGACTCGAAGAGTTTTGACGACGTTTCGTGCGCTACGAAACCCAATCATCAATGAATCAAATAAAAAATCCTCCGATTTAAATGAAATTTAGTATGTCAATAGATTGGAAAGCCAACTTGACCGTGTACGACATGTGTCATTGTGACAGTTAGTTTTGACGTAAGAAACGTCACATATTTATGTTGTCCGATCGTGACCAAATTTGGTAGGTAGGTTAAGTGAACGACGGTGCACACTTCATCAGGGTGGGACTAACGATTTGATATTGAAGAAAAATGTAGGTCGATTTCGGTACAATTGGGGACCGAGTTGAGTACCAAGTTCGAAACGTCGAGGGCGTCATTCTGTATTCCGAATGACGCCCTCGACGTTTCGAACCGATGCCTCTAAATAGACAAAATCGTCAGGACTTTTTTTCTTAATTATGGGTCGATTGGAACCAAACTCGGCACGTGGATAGAGGTATCCGAATGGAGTCCTCAGACGGACAAACGGACATACAGACGAAAGTAAGAAGTTTTACTTCAAATATGCGTGTACACTATGACACATAATTTTCTCAGAAATGCGAAACTGTTACATACAAACATAAATATCCTATCGAGACGCAACTAAATTGAACTCAATATGAATTTTTAAAAGAAGAAAAGCGTGTGGGATTATTGGTTTAATTTTTCTTGGCCATACATTTTTGAGGATACGTTGACCGGTGAATGTTACGCTTTATCGAGTAGTTTGCAAGATGTCCATAGAGAACATCGGAGAAAACTCACCCTGTATATACTTGATTTTAAATATCTTGTACTCTCTTAAAAAAAACAATTTACTTTATTTAATTGTTGCTTAGTATGTACAACCTATATGAATAAAGAAAGAATTAAATTACATGCTTCACCAAGAGTTTTACTGTACTATACCATGTTTATTTTGTACTATAGATATCTACAATTACGTGACTTTTAAAAATATATAATTGTTTAGTTTAAATTAAAATAAATATTATTAATAATTAATATAATTTATTTATAACAAAAATTAATTCTAAAAAATAAAATATATTCTATAGTCTTAAACTGGTGGTTCTTTGGGAAAGTACGCAACTTATAAAGATTAATAGGTAGGTACATACATGTTTGAACTCCTTTATACGCGATTTTCTATAGAAAGCGTCTACCGTGTAAAGCGGGGCATTAAAGTTAATTTCACTAGTAATTTTGTTCTTCTCGCTCTGATAATTCAGAAATGACGTGAAATAATATTCCATACCACCAGAAGTAAGATTATAGCTTTCTTGATCATTAATGGTCAAATAAATTACTACAAATTAGTGTAATGAAGTTAGCTTACTTCAATGTTATAGGCATCACTTGACACCGAGAATAAGTTTTTAACGATATCATCATTTTTCGAATATATTGAAGCTGCATATACTGAAACGCTCATCAGTCGTCCTAGAATAATTGCAAACGATCCAGCGAAATATACTCGATCTATTATTGTATTTTCATCGTTCATTATCACAACATCTTTTGTTATTTTACTAAAAATATTAAATTAATTAAATATAAAAAATGAATAAAAATAATAAAAAGAATTTAAAAATATTTATTTTGCATTTAAGTTTATTCCTAGGTATTTATTTTCATATATTTCTTTTTCTTCTTTCAATGGTTCTAGAAGACTCAAATTTGTAATCTAGGTAGAGTAAGATGAACGTCAACTTTTGTTAACGTTTTGGCGATGTTTTGTTTAGAACGAAATAGCATTATCAATGACTAAAAACATAATCAAATGGATGAAATTCAAATAGTATGTATGTAAATATCCTAATTACATTCCTAAAGGTGGCTCTCGGCCTGATCCACTGCGACCTTCTCAGATCTATTGTGGTCCTCTTCAGATCCCTAGATTACATTCTCCTATTACAGTCCTATCATTTTCACAAAATTTAGCAACTTGGAGACTGAACCCTCTATCTAGCTCCCTGGCAATGGTCTATCATTGCTTATTACCGAGAACCGCACATTTGCCAGGCTGTCGCACCGACATAAAATGTGTTCTGTCGTTTCTTCTTCAGATTGGCAGAACCTACACATAGCTTCGTCTGTCAGTCCCATCAGCTTTAGATGCCTATTCAGCTGACAATGCCCTGTTAGTAGACCCACTACAGCTTTGACTGTCTTTCTGCCCTTGGTCTACCGTGAATTTTGGCGAATGTTCTACAATGAACTTTTTCTCCTGTCTCTGCCCTGGTAAATTTCTCCACCATTCTGGAGATTTGTTGGCCACCCATCGTTCCGTGGTCATTCTCGTGGCCGCCTTTGCAACGCCGCAGAAGGGTTCTGGGCCTTTGAATGGAATTGATAAGCCTTGCTTGGCCCTTTCATCTGCCTTTTTGTTACCCTTGTGACCCTCGTGCCCTGGTACTTAGGCCAACGTAACAATGCCACGTTCGCCTAAATTATTTAGAGCACGCACACAGTCCCGCACTAGTCTAGAATTGACCTACGCGGAGTCGAGTGCCTTTAGCGCTGCTTGTCTGTTCTTTGTTGCCTTATTATTTATTCTACGCAAGAGTGGTTTGTCGTTATTTCTGCCTAGAAAATTGTGACATCCTTAGATAGGCTTACGTGGAAGGATCTCCTTTGTTTCGGACCTGATGGCCAAAGTAATCATGCACATCTCCTGTAGTTATAGTTTTAGCGTAAAATGTGAAAAGAGTTTCAAATTCTGTAATGGACCTTTATTTGCGGTGTCAATATAGCTACGCTCCAAAGTTTGAGTTAACGTTTCGGTTATAAGTGTAGGGAATGATATTAATCCATAAAGTTTCGATAATTATTTCGATAATTTGGCTCACTTAATACAGAACTGAATAGAACATACAACTGTACCTCTAAAACATTTTCGTGAATGCGGAACTAAAATGCCATGGGCATTCCGGGGCCCTAATTCTAGAACTTTGACATAAACACATTACGCTTTCAGAGTGGAAAGGGAAATCAGCCGTTCAGCGGAATGTTAAGCAGTAGATTTTTGGTATTTTCCTTGTCGTGCGAATCGTTTTCTGGATACGGGTAGAGCACATATTGGCAGCATCGCAATTTCTCAAGTATCTAACAGTCAAAGGTGGATAAAACTATGAAAAATGTCAATGTTACGTGAATTTAATAACCTATTGTTGAGTATTGTTGAAAAAAAAAACGAAATAAAAATTGAAACTTCTACACCCAGTATCTCTAAAACGAAGCAATTTAGAACATACATTTATATGTTTATCTGCAGTATAGTATACTAGCTACTTTAGCTGTGGGTACAAAAGCCGGCGGCTGGGGCCTAAAGAGGGCAGACATAAATAGACGAGTACAGTTGACGCGCTAAAATTCAAAATAAATTCTTTCTAGATAAATAGTTATAAATCGTTTGTAAATAGTTCTTTAAGTCTTTTATCGTTATTGTTTTTGTTAATTAGTGTTAAATAAATTGTGTTTAAATAAATTGTGTTTAAATAAATTGTGACTTTCTATCCACACGGAACCGACGAAAAAGGTAACAATATCAAAATAAAAAAAATTGTCAAGTTGATCAAAAACTAAAATAAATTAATTACAAAAATAAAAATGTTGACTTAGTCAACAATTATTTATCTCTTCGACAAATAGTAGTGAATGCTCTATTGAGGTTTTTCAATTTAATATACAGGGTGATCCAAATTGTATTCGGGAAACTTTGGCAGTATATTCTGCAGATAAAATAAGTAAGAAAAAGTAAGTAGTAAAAGTAGTAAGAAAAGATCAATTATAAATGTCTTTAGTAAATTAATAAAATTTAAGCGTCTTACCTGAAAATAACTGTAAGTTGAAATATAGTAACATAAAGTTTATTAACAAAGGATGTTCCTAAAATAAACGTGATGCATTTTGAAGTGTCATCGCAAAGCAAAGAAACTTGCACATAGTGTTCTCGAACAATTCGCCAGCTATGTTCATTTAAAACCTACATATAAACAAGTACATAAAAATAACCTTTTCTAATATTAACTTTGTGATAATACTTTTTCTTTTATAAAATGTGATATTCGGTGTTCAATCTGAGATAACCTAAAATGTAACGGTATACAAATAACCATTAAGAATATATCTGCATAGTTCCATGTTAAGGTACAAAGCCAGTTAAGAATCTGAAACAACACACTGATATTAATAAGAAGTATACCTAAACATTTGAGATTAATAGTTTATATTTCTTATGAAACATAGTACAGTTGTGGTACAGTATCTTAAGTCCTATGTTATGATGAATTTGAAAAGAGCAATTATTATAAAAAAAAACAGTGTGGGCACTATGTGCGCATATTTGAAGTAAAATTTCTTAGTAACAGCTATTAAATTGAAGGATTTGAAGGACATGTTTGAAAAAGTGACATATAATGCTGCTTTAATGTAAATATTATTTTCAATTTATTTCTGTACATTTTCTGTTTTCTCAATAGCCTGCAAATTTTGTGAAATACCACTCAAATACACACTTTAATGCAAATGCCTAGTAATGTTAACACTTAAATTTATTTAAGAAGGGAAAAAAATTGAACCTAACCAACAATACGTATTTATAGTGATTTACAGTAATTTTGTTAAATTATACGAATATTCTCGTTGATTATTGGTTTGAAATAAATATGACAATGTTCTCCAATGAACATGCGAGTTGATTAACTCTAATAATTCTAGCTCTGAGCTAGCAAATGAGCTAGATGCTTTACCTAGACCGTTATTCAGAAGCTACAAACCTATCGATGAAAATATGCTTGAAAATTTACTTTCTAGCACACAGCCAGAGGATATTGGTACACATTACCCAAGTAGCATTTGGACGTTATCTAACGTCGGGTATACGTCGCATTCAATAAACCCGACGTCGGGTACCAACGTCGGTTCGACCGCCTGACGACCCTTATTTGCACCTAAATGGGGAATACAGATTCGGGTTGCCTCGACGTCGGTATCTGACCTAATAGGGAATGTAATTCTACCAATTACCAACGTCATATTACGTTGGATTTTAGTCACTTAAAATTCGTCGCTAAGCACTTACGTTACTTTTGGTTTCATATTCGCTACCAAGAATACATAAAAACCTAACCAAACTACCTAATTACAAATGGATTCATAATAACTCCTTGAATATAACTGTAAGTGCCTACCTAATTTCATATTATAATAATTCTGAATCATTAATCCAGAATCAGTTTTGTCAACGGAAGTCACTTTCTTGATATATCTGGTTAAAATACTCCGGAAAACAACGAGCGCCTTCAAAATTAGGTAGATTTATGAAATAAAAATATCTATAAAAAAGTAACTCGCAAAATATTTTTTTTATTTTCTAGCTGGTTTAATCATAAAATTGTACTGTGGTTCCCCCCAAAATCAACTTTATCAATATTATTCTACTAGAAATCGGAATGTGAATAAAAATTTTAAAAACAAAAAACGATTTTAAAATGGCTGACAATCGGATATTTGTTAAGAATGGCGGATTTCTGTGTCCGACTTAATATGAACTACTAATATACCAATTCCGACCGGGTCTCCAACATTAGTCGTCTCACACGACCGAAGTCATCAAACCGGACGACCGGCGATCGTATTATGACGTATATAATTCCAACGTACGCCACGTAACCTCACTTTGCGTATCAGTGATTTGTGGATTTGTGCAACTATATTTTAGTTTTTGTTTTCTCCTTATAAAATGGACAGCCACATTTTTAAGATAGTATATATACAAAATTTAAAAGAATTGGAACCAGTACCTCACATGTGGAAGGAGGATGGAGTCTGCTGGTTTCCTAAGCTTAAAAATGAAATTAAGATGCACCAGTGTCATACAGCATCTCTTCCGGATAAAAAACATTCATGGGTGAAGGCAAGATATCACTACTACTATTATTATTTTGCAAAAGCCTCGACCTCTTTCTGTAAAATGTAGATGAATGTCTAAATGCCTTTTTAGTGTTTTTTTAGGCATAATAAAAACAATTAAGTTTGTTTACAAAAACTTTTTATTAGGTTATGTTCATGATGTTCATTAGGCCGCGATTGCTACTTAATGGGTTGTATTTACGGACGTAAATAGAGATACGTAAATTAGGTTATAAATATGAACATAAAATACAACAAAATATAATTGAACGTTACTTTAGGGATTATCAGTGAGACGTATCCTATTCGGACAACGGGTAGACGTCGGGCTAGTTCATGTATATGTACGTCGTGCAAGCCAACGTGGGAACGACTTTGGGAAATTAATAAAAATGGTACGTTGTTATTTTGTACGTCGACAGATCGTTGGTTTTACCGACTCGGATCCAACGACGTCGCTTTTAATAGGAAAGCGACGTCACCGGTCGTATCACCAGCACCCGACCAAAATTTGCACAAAGTCTGACGTCGCTTCAGGTCAGATTTA